ACCCATGAAAACCCATGAAAACCCATGAAAACCCATGAAACAATGTTGGTATATAACTGAATTATAACTAGCAGAATACGCATAGTTTGTATGATTCATATCCCACAATCATATAGGATGTTTGAACCATAAATCCACTATTTTTACGCCTTTGCCCGATTGAAGTCGAACATTTGGCGCTTTTGGGCACGGTGATACCTGGGTGAAATGATACCCAACTTCTGCCAGCCATATCCTCGAGTATTCCATTGTGGGTTTGTCTGAAATCCCTTAAATTTCATTCGGGAAATCATGAACACTTCGCAACGTGGCCATGGAAAAATGTGGGTTCATCTGGCCCCCGCTTCAAGTTGCACACTGAGACATCCATGGTTACCATGGTTCATTGGTTGCATCCCCTAACATATTCCACATTGTGGGTTTTATCGTCCCCTAACTGTTGGCGTCCACATTTTCAGGGTATCCCGTCCGCATTTTCAGGCCTAGTTTTTTGTTGGTTTATAGCTAACAACACCATGTAAAACCTGGGCTTTGTGGTAGATATATCTGCAGGTTAGGCATATAAACCAACAAACATTACAGGGGATATTCTTTGTATAAAAGGATTATGCAGCCCGTTATGATACCAATGGAAGAAAAAACAACCATTGATGTATCCATTTGGAGCATAACACCCACAAAAACCAACCAACACCATTAAAAACATTTAAAAACCATTAAACGCAATTAAAAACCATTGAATCACGATTAAACCACCATTAAATCACCATCAAATCACCATTGAAAACCATTGATTTATCCATTCAAAAAGCAGCTCCCTCAGGTCAAAACCGTCACCGTCACCACCACCACCACCACCACCACAACCACAACCACGACCACCACAACCACAACCGCGACGACCACAGAGAAGGAGACAACAGAGGCGAGAAATCGAGAAATCTTGGGACATTGAACATCATTTAATCATGGAAAGATGGGGATTCAATCGAGAGATATAGGGACTTAACCATCAACAATAGGAATTTAACCATCTAAAGATGGAGATATCACAGAGAAAAAGTTGGGGAAACTGATCTAAATGGAGGTTGTCATGTTGTCATGGGAATATCATCTTAAAGTGAAAATCTAACTGAGAAAAAGAGGGACCCATCACCAATAGGGGATTTAACCACCTAAAATGATGATGTAGTCAAGACAGATTTAAGATTTAACAGATTTAACCCATGAATCGTGGTTATATTGGTTATATGGATGCTGACTGGTTTAATGGGCATTTTATGGAGATTTCCCGACCAATATATGGGGATTTTCCCATAGTTCCCCAGTTGAGTCCATTTTGCTTGCAAATATGGCTGGTTCTGGGAGTTCTAAGATGCACATGCTGATTTTATTTACTCTTGATGATTTTTTTTTTGGGGAAGTCATCAAGAGTTCGGATTTGGGGATTTGGCTTTGCCGAGACAACTGTAAGGCATTGTTACATGATTTTATCATCTCTTATCCCAAAAAACATGGGATATTCAATATTTTTTTACCATTTTTACCCAAAAATCATAGAATATGAAGATTCCAATGGGATATTCATCGATGACCAGGTTCCAAAGCTGGCCACATTGGCACCTTTACCACAGGCGGAGAGATGGGCGGCTTTAAACGTGGATTCGCTAAGGGATGGCTTTTAAAAAGGATACCCTCTGGTAAACTAACAGTTTGCTTTTGAAAATGGCCATTTATAGTGGATTTTCCCACTAAAAATGGTGATTTTCCATAGTTATGTTAAATTACCAGAGGGTAATGGGAAATTCCCACTGCTTAGGGAATTTATATCCGGATTTTGTTTTTTTATTTTGTGGGTTCCTTAAGCAAATCCAAGTTTGAGCAACACAACATGGTATCCAACCATCAAACTCTAGGTATTAATGCGGATTTAACCATCAAAGATGGAGACATTTCGTGGTGATATGTCATAATATAACATTCATGAAGAGTGGATTTATTTCATGATTATTGATTCAATGGAGATTTTTCATGGCTATTTTCATGGGGCTTCATGGGTTTTTGCCACCATCGGGTGGCCGAGAAATTTGTGAACAGATGGGACGTCCAAAATAACACCATGGTTCCCTGTATTACAGATGGCCATGTGGGTGTAGGGTTTTCATGGCTTTTCTACGCCACTTTTTTAGAGAGATCCTGATGACAGGATAGATTCGGATAGAATCCAAAGTCGGAATAGCTGCGCATAAAATGCCCCGAAAAGGGGAGTAGTAGAAGAGCGATGATTTTTGCAATTACATCAATTTCTTTGCGCCACCATGTTCCCCGCACAGTTTTGCATCTGACCTACCTTTATCACAGGTGGAATTGGCAACCATGGCGCCCATTCCAATGGCAACTATGGCGCCCCTGGGAACCATAGCTCCTTTACCAGAGGTGCGCTCTTGACTGCATGTTGTATCTTGCGATACCAAATACGAAGTATTTGTGGGTCCTTTGTCCTTTTGGTGCTCTTTTTCTTTTAACCCACTTATGACAGTTTTGGATCTGGTTGTGCAAAGTCTCCCTTTAAAGAACAGAGAGTGTGGCATGAAGTAAGATGAAGTAACGTTTGAAATCTATCAAAAAGGTACTTGTAGTAGAGCAGTGGCAGGAGCACATGTTCAGATCTCGTTTCCATTTGACTCCTGCTCTTGTGCCCGATGCATATTTGATAATTTTGGGTGCCTGAGTATCATAGATTTCAGAGGATCTGGTCTTTACATACTGGTAGTGGTGCTACCTGCATAGTTTGCCCCAAAAAGAGGAGTAGAAGAAGAACGATAATTTTGCCATGACATGCTGGACTTATCACCTTCTTTGTGCCACCATGTTCCCCGCACGATTCTGCATTTGACCTACCTTTTTCACAGGTGCCAATGGCAACTATGGCGCCCCTGGGAACCATAGCTCCTTTACCAGAGGTGCGGTCTTAACTACATGTCGTATCTTGCGATACCAAATATGAAGTATTTGTGGGTGCTTTTTCCTTTTTTGGGCCCTTTTCGTTTCACTTTACTCAAGACAGTTTTGGATCTGGTTGTGCAACGTGTCCCTTTAAAGAACAGAGAGTGTGGCATGAAGTAAGATGAAGTAACGTTTGAAATCTATCAAAAAGGTACTTGTAGTAGAGCAGTGGCAGGAGCACATGTTCAGACCTCGTTTCCATTTGACTCCTGCTCTTGTGCCCGATTCATATTTGATAATTTTGGGTGCCTGAGTATCATAGATTTCAGAGGATCTGGTCTTTACATGCTGGTAGTGGTGCTACCTGCATAGTTTGCCCCAAAAAGAGGAGTAGAAGAAGAACGATAATTTTGCCATGACATGCTGGACGTATCACCTTCTTTGTGCCACCATGTTCCCCGCACGATTCTGCATTTGACCTACCTTTTTCACAGGTGCCAATGGCAACTATGGCGCCCCTGGGAACCATAGCTCCTTTACCAGAGGTGCGGTCTTAACTACATGTCGTATCTTGCGATACCAAATATGAAGCATTTGTGGGTGCTTTTTCCTTTTTTGGGCCCTTTTCGTTTCACTTTACTCATGACAGTTTTGGATCTGGTTGTGCAACGTGTCCCTTTAAAGAACAGAGAGTGTGGCATGAAGTAAGATGAAGTAACGTTTGAAATCTATCAAAAAGGTACTTGTAGTAGAGCAGTGGCGGGAGCACATGTTCAGACCTCGTTTCCATTTGACTCCTGCTCTTGTGCCCGATGCATATTTGATAATTTTGGGCATGTTGGTAGTGGTGCTACCTGCATAGTTTGCCCCAAAAAGAGGAGTAGGAGAAGAACGATGATTTTGTCATGACATGCTGGACTTATCACCTTCCTTGTGCCACCATGTTCTCCGCACGATTCTGCATTTGACCTACCTTTTTCACAGGTGCCAATGGCAACTATGGCGCCCCTGGGAACCATAGCTCCTTTACCAGAGGTGCGGTCTTAACTACATGTCGTATCTTGCGATACCAAATATGAAGCATTTGTGGGTGCTTTTTCCTTTTTTGGGCCCTTTTCGTTTCACTTTACTCATGACAGTTTTGGATCTGGTTGTGCAACGTGTCCCTTTAAAGAACAGAGAGTGTGGCTTGAAGTAAGATGAAGTAACGTTTGAAATCTATCAAAAAGGTACTTGTAGTAGAGCAGTGGCGGGAGCACATGTTCAGACCTCGCTTCCATTTGAATCCTGCTCTTGTGCACGATGAATATTTGATGCTTTTGGGTGCCTGAGTATCATAGATTTCAGAGGATCTGGTCTTTACATGCTGGTAGTGGTGCTACCTGCATAGTTTGCCCCAAAAAGAGGAGTAGAAGAAGAACGATAATTTTGCCATGACATGCTGGATTTATCACCTTCTTTGTGCCACCATGTTCTCCGCACGATTCTGCATTTGACCTACCTTTTTCACAGGTGCCAATGGCAACTATGGCGCCCCTGGCAACCATAGCTCCTTTACCAGAGGTGCGGTCTTAACTACATGTCGTATCTTGCGATACCAAATATGAAGTATTTGTGGGTGCTTTTTCCTCTTTTGGTGCTCTTTTTCTTTTAACCCACTTATGACAGTTTTGGATCTGGTTGTGCAAAGTGTCCCTTTAAAGAACAGAGAGTGTGGCATGAAGTAAGATGAAGTAACGTTTGAAATCTATCAAAAAGGTACTTGTAGTAGAGCAGTGGCGGGAGCACATGTTCAGACCTCGCTTCCATTTGACTCCTGCTCTTGTGCCCGATGCATATTTGATGCTTTTGGGTGCCTGAGTAGCATAGATTTCAGAGGATCTGGTCTTCACATGCTCGTAGTAGTGGTACTTGCGTTTTGGGGCTATCGACCACCATCAACACCAACCATGTAGGGGCTTATGAACCTGCCAAATTAGCCAATCACAATCAGATAATCAATAAGTTGGCTATAGTTGGTTTATACCCCCAAACAACTAATTCAATATATCTAGATCCACCAATGGTTAGCCAATCTATGAACCAGATTGAACCAGCAGAAACCTATCGGTTGGGGGCCCCTTCCACCATCAACCCCAACCATAAGAACGTATTCACCACCATCAATGATTAATAACCCCAACCATCAGCAATCATGTACTGTAACGGTCCACTTCATCGTTAATACTTGTGAACCGTCATGATTAGTAACCCCAACCAGCATATAACATCATATAACAATTATTGTTAAAAACCATTGGTTAATGGTGGTGAATGGGTTCAGGTTTTTCGAAATATGACATCCTTACTATTGAACCACCATTGAACCTTACCACTCACTATATCATTCACCATCATATAACTGATATCTATATATATCTATATATATATATCTATATGTCTATATATACAGATTATATCATTAACCATTGTACAACTAATATATCATAACCTTAAAAAACATTAACCACCGACCTCGTCACTGGTCGACATCGTCGAAGGTCGGCGGGTCACTGTCGATCCCGGCAATGCCTGGGGACATGGAGGATGACATCGCTGCTGAGGTGGCAAAGATGCAAAAGGTGCCACGGTTTGGGTGAGAAAAATGGGGGGATGACGATGACTTAACCATGAAGCATCAACTTGAGGATTTTTTAAAATGGGATTTAATGAGAATGGGTTTTGATGGGTTTTCATGGGTTTTTAATGGGTTTTTAATGGGTTTTTAATGGGGTTTTGTACTTCAATGGGGATTTCAGCATCTAAAATGATGACTTTTCATGGTGATTTTCATAGGGATACGAATCAAGGAATAGTGGTTATATCGATGATCATGGGATTTCACGAGGATTCAACTAACATTGGGAGATTTCCTCATGCAATTGGGCATATTTCATGGGATCACTGACTGAACATGGGGATATTTCATGGGCATATTAGTTGGGGGTTGACTTCACCAGTGAATAGTGGTGATATGATGATTTTCCATAGGGGTTTCATTTTTATGGGACCGTATGGGATTTCACCATCTAGAATGGGGATATAATTGGTATGTAGTATACACCCGACACCTGTATTGTACCTTTCTAAAAATCGTACCGTACTGTACCAAATGTAGCAATACCATACCGTTCCGTATCATACCATACAGCTCCGTAATGTAACATACCATATTGTACTATAGACTATAACATAACATTGGATTGCATACCCGGCATACCCCCCAAAAGATCGAAACGTAAACCACCATCAAAATAGATCTTGTTTTTTTTCTTCGGCTTGGTCCGACAATGGGGTACCAAACAAAACACCACTGCTTTGTCATCATTTTCCCTCGTAAAATCATCAAAATAGAGGGGTTATCCACCATTTTCAGACTTGCACCTCATATTAATTTAGCATAATTCGGTTATATGCATCCCGCTTTTATCTCAATTGCAGACACCCAACGATCTGGACTTATGAGTCCACCCAATCGCGCCGCAAGTGCCAGGACCTTGGTGATGAAGAGGCGGATGAGATGATGAAGCAGATGAAGGAGGGCGGTTGCGAGCCAGCGGATCATGAATTACTGAATCAATCCATGTATTTTTTTTGGGGATTCTGGGATATAACATGATAATACATGATATAACCATCAACACACCAGCCGTAACGAATCTGTTGCCGCCCCTGGCCTGTGGATGGGGATTTTTCGTAGAACGGGGAATGGATTGCCCAAGACTTGGGGGTGCAGTTCCACCATGCTTTACCCAACCAAGGAACAAAACCATAACCACCACTGCACGTCCTCGTCATAGTGGCGGATTAAACCAAGCAGTTTTAATGGGAAGAATGGAATTGAATACATAAAAAATCATGGGCAAGTCAGCAAGGTGCCCCAAAGTCATAAGCAATTTCCTTTTTATCAAAAATGGTTTGCATAACACATCCCTACTGTGGAGGTTATATTTTGGGTGTCGCCATGGTTGTGTAAAAAAACCATCTGGGAAGTTCTATACCACTGGATGGTTGCGAAATCCTGCACCAGTTGAAAACGTTGGTTTATCCCATGGTTTATAGGCTTTCAACCATCCTTTTGGTGGTGCAGGATTTCGCAACCATCCACCGTATCATGAAAGTCTAATCTACCAAAGGCTGAGGCAAATTCAGCTGCAACGCCGTTTTGTCAATTTGCGTGGCAGTTTGAACCGTCGACATTGCAGGAAACAATGCCAGGAAGAAGAAACAGCATTTTTTTAAAAGGGGCTCTACCGCAACATGTCCAGTTTTCTTTTGCACTTTGCTTCCATTTTCGCATTTTTTGTTCAGATGTGTGTCACCACTAAAAATTAGCAAGTGTCGCTTTTGGTTGTCTGAAAATGGGGTACCCCTAAAAATTCACTGGTTTATCACATTTTTTCCCAACACAATTTCCCGTTTCCCATAGTTTATGGTGTTTAAACTTGCCGCTTTGGTGGGTAGATCCATTCTCAGATCTCCCAGAAGTACTATGTCTGGCAGGCGCCTGAAACGGCTGAAAAAGAGGAGCCAGCCAAGGAGGAACCAAAGGCAGAGGCGCGACGTGGGTGTGTCTGATACTGAGGTATGGTCCAAAATGGCAGTAATGATTGTAAACCATTGTATTTTGGTGTACCCGGTACCATCCGATTCGATACCCGATTTTCCAACAAACCGTGACAAAGCATTTTTTGTCGCGCACAGAGTTTTTCTTTTTATATAAATATGATGCGGCAGAAGCAACCTTGACCCATACGCCAACTGCGTTAATTGCCTACAAGGTTTGTTGAACAAACCCAAGTCTCGTGAAACATCATGTAATCTGTCTTTTTCAGGAGCCTGAGAAGGCTGAGACAGCTGAGCCAGCCAAGGAGGAACCCAAACCTGAGGCGAAGGCAAAGAACCGGTCAAACCGGGGGAGAAGGGAGCCATGGGTAAATGTCGAGGTAGTTCCATGCTGAGCTTACGTGGTTCAGTTCATCATAAAATTTGTGAAGACATTTCTGCGGATGTTGTTGATGAGGAGACAAATCGTCGTCAACTTTGGAGTTCTTGGCAGGACTTAAACACATTCAACTAAGATCTAATTGCGGTTTCTTTCGTTTCCTCCCCTGTTTCCTTTAATGGTGGCTTGGAAGACCTTCTCCAGTTTTGCAGGCACCTGAAACGGCCGAAAAAGAGGAGCCAGCCAAGGAAGAACCAAAGGCAGAGGCCCGATGTGGGTGAAAATTCTTTTGGAGATTGAACTTTGGATGAATTTAAAAAAAAGTGGTGCTGCACTAATTGTCTACAGTAAATAGCTGAATTTGCAATTCCAGGTTTTTTCAAGAGCCTGTGGATTAGTTTCTTAACTTTGAGGTCTCATGCGGCAGAAGCAACCTTGACCCATACGCCAACTGCGTTGATTGCCTACAAGGTTTGTTGAACAAACCCAAGTCTCGTGAAACATCATGTAATCTGTCTTTTTCAGGAGCCTGAGAAGGCTGAGACAGCTGAGCCAGCCAAGGAGGAACCCAAACCTGAGGCGAAGGCAAAGAACCGGTCAAACCGGGGGGAAGGAGCCATGGGTAAATGTCGAGGTAGTTCCATGCTGAGCTTACGTGGTTCAGTTCATCATAAAATTTGTGAAGACATTTCTGCGGATGTTTTTGATGAGGAGACAAACCGTCGTCAACTTTGGAGTTCTTGGCAGGACTTAAACACATTCAACTAAGATCTAATTACGGTTTCTTTCGTTTCCTCCCCTGTTTCCTTTGATGGTGGCTTGGAAGACCTTCTCCAGTTTTGCAGGCACCTGAAACGGCCGAAAAAGAGGAGCCAGCCAAGGAAGAACCAAAGGCAGAGGCCCGATGTGGGTGAAAATTCTTTTGGAGATTGAACTTTGGATGAATTAAAAAAACAGTTGTGCTGCACGAATCGTCTACAGTAAATAGCTGAATTCGCAATTCCAGGTTTTTTCAAGAGCCTGTGGATTAGTTTCTTAACTTTGAGGTCTCATGCGGCAGAAGCAACCTTGACCCATACGCCAACTGCGTTGATTGCCTACAAGGTTTGTTGAACAAACCCAAGTCTCGTGAAACATCATGTAATCTGTCTTTTTCAGGAGCCTGAGAAGGCTGAGATAGCTGAGCCAGCCAAGGAGGAAACCAAACCTGAGGCGAAGGCAAAGAACCGTCAAACCGGGGGGCTAAGGAGCCATGGGTAAATGTCGAGGTAGTTCCATGCTGAGCTTACGTGGTTCAGTTCATCATAAAATTTGTGAAGACATTTCTGCGCATGTTGTTGATGAGGAGACAAATCGTCGTCAACTTTGGAGTTCTTGGCAGGACTTAAACACATTCAACTAAGATCTAATTGCGGTTTCTTTCGTTTCCTCCCCTGTTTCCTTTGATAATCGCTTGGAAGACCTTCTCCAGTTTTGCAGGCGCCTGAAACGGCCGAAAAGGAGGAGCCAGCCAAGGAAGAACCAAAGGCAGAGGCCCGATGTGGGTGAAAATTCTTTTGGAGATTGAACTTTGGATGAATTTAAAAAAAAGTGGTGCTGCACGAATCGTCTACAGTAAATAGCTGAATTCGCAATTCCAGGTTTTTTCAAGAGCCTGTGGATTTGTTTCTTAACTTTGAGGTCTCATGCGGCAGAAGCAACCTTGACCCATACGCCAACTGCGTTGATTGCCTACAAGGTTTGTTGAACAAACCCAAGTCTCGTGAAACATCATGTAATCTGTCTTTTTCAGGAGCCTGAGAAGGCTGAGACAGCTGAGCCAGCCAAGGAGGAACCCAAACCTGAGGCGAAGGCAAAGAACCGTCAAACCGGGGGGCTAAGGAGCCATGGGTAAGTGTCGAGGTAGTTCCATGCTGAGCTTACGTGGTTCAGTTCATCATAAAATTTGTGAAGACATTTCTGCGCATGTTATTGATGAGGGACAAACCGTCGTCAACTTTGGAGTTCTTGGCAGGACTTAAACACATGCAACTAAAATCTAATTACGGTTTCTTTCGTTTCCTCCCCTGTTTCCTTTGATGATCGCTTGGAAGACCTTCTCCAGTTTTGCAGGCACCTGAAACGGCCGAAAAAGAGGAGCCAGCCAAGGAAGAACCAAAGGCAGAGGCCCGATGTGGGTGAAAATTCTTTTGGAGATTGAACTTTGGATGAATTAAAAAAAAAGTGGTGCTGCACTAATTGTCTACAGTAAATAGCTGAATTTGCAATTCCAGGTTTTTTCAAGAGCCTGTGGATTAGTTTCTTAACTTTGAGGTCTCATGCGGCAGAAGCAACCTTGACCCATACGCCAACTGCGTTGATTGCCTACAAGGTTTGTTGAACAAACCCAAGTCTCGTGAAACATCATGTAATCTGTCTTTTTCAGGAGCCTGAGAAGGCTGAGATAGCTGAGCCAGCCAAGGAGGAACCCAAACCCGAGGCGAAGGCAAAGAACCGTCCAAACCGGGGGGGAAGGGAGCCATGGGTAAATGTCGAGGTAGTTCCATGCTGAGCTTACGTGGTTCAGTTCATCATAAAATTTGTGAAGACATTTCTGCGGATGTTGTTGATGAGGAGACAAATCGTCGTCAACTTTGGAGTTCTTGGCAGGACTTAAACACATTCAACTAAGATCTAATTACGGTTTCTTTCGTTTCCTCCCCTGTTTCCTTTGATAATCGCTTGGAAGACCTTCTCCAGTTTTGCAGGCACCTGAAACGGCCGAAAAAGAGGAGCCAGCCAAGGAAGAACCAAAGGCAGAGGCCCGATGTGGGTGAGAGATCATGCTTTGGAGATTGAACTTTGGATGACACTAATTGTCTACAGTAAATAGCTGAATTCGCAATTCCAGGTTTTTTCAAGAGCCTGTGGATTTGTTTCTTAACTTTGAGGTCTCATGCGGCAGAAGCAACCTTGACCTATGGACCTATGCGATAACTGCGTTGATTGCAGAAACAAGTTTATGTTGAACCAAGAGAATTTTAGTGAAACTTCAAAAACATCAAACACATCAAAGCTTTCTTTATGGGGACCAAGGGTGAAGACCGGCATTGGGAAATCTATTGGAAATCTCTTGTAGCACAGCATATACAGAATTATCACTAGCCGGTGAGCCTCAAATCTTGACAAATAAATCCCCATAATTTCACTTGGGCATGGCTCAAGAATCAATTGGATGGTCTCGGCAGAAACCACAAAGCCATGAGTTCCCTGGGCCGCCTGACAATTTCCTGTTCTTTGACAGGAAGTGTTATCCTAGGAACATGTTGGATAGGTCTCTATTAAGCCATTCTTTTGCCAAATTAAGACTTGAAGAAACCTAGAAACAACATGGAAAGTCTAAAGTAGTCTAAAGACAAGAAACACAACCAACAAAAACTAGCATAGACTAAAAACGAAAATAAAACAAACTACACATGTTCTGGTATTTCAGTCTTCCATTCATGGATTGGTGTAGTTTTGTTTGGTAACCCTTGATTTGGCGAGTTGCATAAAAAGGGTCTCAAATGAAGACCATTGAATACCTGGTTGGTGGTTTGGAACATGAATGTTATTTTTCCATTCAGTTGGGAATGTCATCATCCCAAGTGACGAACTGCTCATATTTTTCAGGGGGGTAGGCGAAAAACCACCAACCAGATACTCCAAGTTGGTCCATCAATCGATGCAATGAGTCCTGTCATGTCCGACAGGGCGAGGTCATCACCTCCTGGTTGTTATCTTCGTTGCACCCCACGGAGTCCTGGAAACCGCGGCAGTTCAGCATCGGATCGGGCAAGGTGCACGTGGATCAGTTCTCGCCTCAGTGATGGTGATGTTTGGTGATGTCGCGCTTTCGCGCTTTCGGGCTTTTTTAAATCCACCAGAGTGGAATTAATAGGGGACATGACATGTTGATGTTTACTAAAGCAATTTGTTGAGTCTATCCAAGTTATGTTCCTGAACTTTTCAGGGAATACATTGGAATCCATTGGAATTCATTTTGGAGCGATCTCCTGAGGTTCCAGCATGCCTGGAAAGACCAGACGGCTGACTCCACGGTGGAGCTTCATGTGGTGGAACCCTACGTGGAGGACTACCCCGGGCAGCCATCGCTGCACGCCATCTTGGTGAAGAACCCGGAGGCCATGAAGCAGGTGCCGGTGCTGGTGGAGGTGAAGGATGAAAAGTCGCAGCAGCAGAAATGGAAGGCGCGGAAAGGTCAAGAAATACGGGAAATAAGATGAATGAATAAGATTATAATAAGATGATAAGATGAATCAAGAAGTTGGCTAAAATTTGTCCCCCAAAAAGGAAAACCTTCAAATTTTGGTCCTTTTTTTTGTTGCCTTTTTTTTTTTGATCCCCCCCTTTCAAAGCCCTCCAGGCAGCATGGGTGAAGAATCCCGTGACCTTTGAAAGTCTGGCAGCCATCGATCAGAAAGGGCCAGCCCAAGATTTGGATCAGATGCAGATCACCGTCTTTGATATCCACCTGAAACAAGGGCAGATGATCAAGGTGAACCAGGGCGATCTCATCAAGTTTGTGGTGCCGGAGGATCAGTTCTGATCACACTGGGATGATCCTATCATTGCAGAGGGTCCTCAAAAAGATCCACAACATTCGACAACTATATAACATTATATAACTTTATATAACTTATATTACCATCTAAGAATCTAAGGCTTTTCCATCTACTAAATATGGGGAGAATGGGGAGTTTACCTGGCCCTAGACAGACCTCCTAGACAGACCTCCTTATAAAGATCTCCTTAAAGACCTCCTTTCAGGAGCGCTTCGGAAAGTATAGCGCGTCTGAGGGCTGGTGGAGTACCAAGGGCCAGCAAGGCCCAAAAAATCTGTGGCGAGATGACTGGAGATGACTCAGCCAAAGATGGTGACTTACCCTCTGGTAAACTAACAGTTTGCTATTGAAAATGGCCATAGAAATAGTGGATTTTCCCATTAAAAATGGTGATTTTCCATAGTTACGTTAGTTTACCAGAGGGTAATATGACTGAATGATACTGAATGGGGATTTTTATAAGGGATTATATAATCAATTTTATATGAATGATGGGGGATTTATATAATGGGGATATAACCAGCCCATATCAGAATATATAGTGGGGATGCAATTGGGGATACTATGTACGTATATATTAAGCTATATGATTAACAACCAACTCAATATGAGAAGTTAGTGTGTCTGAAAATGGGGATTTGACCTCAACATGTTTTTAAATAGTCGTAGTCGTTGTCGTAGTTGTAGGCGTAGTCGGTAGTACTAGTAGCAATAGAAGTAGTCGTAGTAGTGGCAATTTTTTAGGACACATTGATAATTACCCATCAAATGTTGGGGTATGCTATTTTCAGAAAACCCTATTAACAAATGCAAAATGCCAGTGTGTTTAATCTGCAAAAATAGGTCTATAACTCCAGGGGATATCATCACCTCGGCCGTCAGGTGCACTCTCAGATGAAATGAAGCTGAGTCTGACCAAGACAGCACTGAACATTGAAGAAGCTGAGAAGAGGGCCGAAGCACAGGACGATGCGAAGTCAGCCACAGCATGACTGAAATGACGACCGGTCGTCCTATGGTTTTCTCACCCTTTCTCACCCCATTCACCGGTGCTTACTGGAATAGAAGTACCATAGTTCTTCGCAATGCCACTTGGCGGCTTGGTGAGATGTGGATAGCTGGGAGGTGTCGACTGATATATCACATGTGAATGACTCCTTAAATTTCTCCAAATCTGATGGTCGGCCAGCTGGTGGTTTCATGGAACTTGGCGTGCAACTATCCAATTCTATCCAATACTGTCCACTATCCAGGACAATTTTGTAACTGTGTACCCTCTGGTAATTAAACATAACTATGGAAAATCACCATTTTTAATGGGAATATCCACTATAAATGGCCATTTTCAATAGCTATGTTAGTTTACCAGAGGGTAAGTGTAACTATGCAGAAGCTCCACAGTGCTCCAGTTCTAAGGTCGTGGAGCACGAGTTTTTCCCTTGAACTCCACTGACTCTGCTGTGACTGGGCACAACTGGAAATGAAAAATGCCTGCGGTTTTCAATGTCAAAACTTTTTTTGGGTACTCGCAACAATGCAGAAACCGGGGTGAGAATTGAGAGGTTCAAAGAACGGTTTGAAAAATCGCTGAGTCGTCGGTCACCCGCTGATCTCCGCGAGGAATGTTGCAGAATCTGAGGGTTAGCACTTCTTGGGGCCTCTTCGCCTGACGCAAAAAAGAAATGGCTTGAAAGTCTGCATGACATCCGGATGGGATATGAGATGATATGAGATGGTACATGATAAAGATTTCTGACCGAAGCTACCTGACAGTTGGCAAAGATGTCCCACTCTGATAGCCGGGACACCAGCGGCGAACGAAACGCCAATGTCCGCATAGTCTGTCGTGCTCTGAAACGAGTGCGTGCGAGGTCCTGCAAGGTTGATGGTTTTGCCAACGTGGCAGCTTGTTGTGACCAGGGTATAATTTGAATATGGCAGAATTGAATACACAATGCTACCACTCCTGAAAAGATATGACATCTGAGAACGGTGTGTGTCTTTTTCGATTTTATCATATTTTCACCATGTTTTCACCATGTTTAACTTGCACTTTGGCAAATCCCAAGAAGCTTAGTGCAGATTCGTCACATTCATGCCATGTTTGAATGTCACGTGCAGCCGATGGGTTGATTGGCCAAAGAGCCTACCCATCGCAGTAGGACGCCAGTAGCCACTGACCAGCTACTGAAAGACGAGGTATGTTGGTCGTGCAGAACAAAGATGACATAAGATGACCACTAAACTTTTTTAACACATTCTCTATACATTCTCTAGATGCATAAATGAATTCTTATGCATTTTCCATCCATCCATTGGTCAACCTGTCTATCCAACGAAGTTTAGGTCTCTCTTTCACACCCAATCCGTAGCCTGCTGGGCCTGATTTCAAACACATCATGTGTTCAAAGTTCAAAGATGAGGTGTGTGCTATGTATAATTCTCTATATCGTTGTAAATCTTTGGGTAGCTTTACAGCCCTCCCAATAAAATGTGGTAATATACAATGATATAAACATCAATGTCGATATCAAGATCTGATGAATCTGCCTTTAGAGGATCCCCTTAGGCAAGTTGTGGAAGTCATTGGATCAAAGCTGTCAGTGAATCCTTTTTCTCATGGTTCGACTGCTTGTGCTGATGGAAAACGTCAAGGAACATCGGCCGAGAGCTGATGGCAGGGTAGTGGTTGAAGGCTGCAGTCCAGATCCTATATTTGTATATATTTGTACATTATATATATATATGTGATGTCATATAAGATTTCATATAATAAATATACAAGATGATGTAGAGTTATACAGCTATACTGGCTTGCTTTAAACGACTATATCTATACACAACGATTCTTTTTACACGTGGAGGTCGTTTGCAAACTTGAACGACTGCCTTTTGCCGTGGCGCCACCGCGAGCTTTCGCGTCAAAACCCAATGCCAGAGCCCATAGATCTTCCATTATTTCGGGCATCTCGGATTTTAGCATCTCCCAAAGCTTCAGCGGCTTTTCTTTCGACCTTACATGACCTTACTGGATCCTTTGAGGACTCCGAAACACGGTCGAAACATCCAGAGGATCCCAGGCTGGATCCAGCTGCTCAGCAGATCCTCATCCCATAGCGAAAAACCTCAGCATCCAACAGCCCCAGATTGGGCCCCAGATCGATCACGTGACGCCGGAGCCATGTCCAGTGACGCCACCGCATCCTTCACCTCCGATGCTGAGGACGGGGCTGGACGGGGGGACCTGGACCACAAGGATGGGGTGAAGGGTAGAATTATGCTACGAATTTTCTATTTTAATGAGGCTTTTGAATGGAAAACAACCAATGGATTCAATTGGGATTTTAAGAAGATCAATGGTCCTATAAATGGGGATTTGAAAGGGACATCCATCATCATCCATCTATAAATTGCGAAATTTCCAGCTCCCTAAGCAACATTAGCCAACCACACAGGGAAAAGTGGGATTGAACCAGCACAACCTGGGGATTTTCATGAAGATTTAACCATATAAAATTGAGAGTTTTCAAGGTGTTTTCTGAGGACATTTATTTGGTAAGTATCAAACATGGGGATCTACAAAAACTACCAAATCAAATGATGGGGATTCAGCCAATGATTTGGGGATTGATTTCATCAGCATTTTTCGATGGGAAATAGCAACAAGAGGCCTGGTGGTCTTGAACCGCGGGGGGAATCTAAATGGGATATGGGCTGATATGGAATATCAACAGCAAGATCATGAAAATTTGGCGTCAAAAAGTGGGGAAATACACATTTCAGCCGTCTTTTGTTTGAAAACAATGGCAGTTGAACGTTAAAAATCATCATTCGGAAAGCGATGATCAACTCCGCAGGATTAAAACAGGGACCCTGTTTTCAGACAAACCCACCACCTCTATGTGTGTACAGACAGGTGCAGATTTTGGTGCGTGTGCCTAACTTTTTTTGGCATGCCATCGCGGACTTCTTGGCTGAACAAATCCAAGCACTGTCAGTGGCAAAGTGGCAGAGGTTTCGCTAAGGGCTTCGTAAACCACTCAAGATCGGACGGAAATTCTTCCGATGACTTTGAATGAACTGGGAATCATCTCATCTCATCTAATCTCCATACTCAAAAATTCAAGAGATGGTTCAGCAACGTGGGTAAAGCCACTGCAATTTTGGGTAAGTAATTATCGAAGGAAGTTTAGAAGTCAAACTTCCGACAATATAGACAGATGAAAAGCAGAGATGGGCAGAGGCAGAGAGAAGAGAAGAGTAGAAGAGAGCAGATCAGAGAAGAGAAAGAGTCAGAAGAAAGAAGATGCAGATGCGCGAAAAGGTAGGAAAGTCGCGAAACGCTGTGTTTTTCCAATGATTTGTGGCTCCGGAGGGTGAAAAAGTAGGCTCGCTAAAGCGGCGGATGCGGAGCCATCTGGCCAGATGAGCGATGAAAAAGTGCACGCCGTTGTGGCGCAAAGCACATTTCCAAGTCAAAATGTACAAAGCACACCAGGGTCGGACCACTTTTGGAAGTTGAGATGTCGAAAAAGTGCATGCCGTTGTGGCGCGAAGCACATTTCGAAGTCAAAATGTACAAAGCACACCAGCGTCGGACCACTTTTAGAAGTTGCGATGTCGAAAAAGTGCACGCCGTTGTAGCGCGAAGCACATTTCGAAGTCAAAATGCACAAAGCACACCACGTACGGACCACTTTTGGACGTTCAGAGCTCGGTTCGCGTGGCAGGCGCAAGGGGTTGTGCACCTTCTCAAAACGTGAGGGTTTTGTAGCATTGCCAAAAACGATGGCATGCGTGTGACATTTGAAGAGGATCTGCAAAGATGCATTTTCCGTGGCAGGCGCAGTACAAGAGACATTTTCATCGGAACTGTTGGGCGGTCAGGGCGCTGATTTCCTGAGAGGGGTTGCAGTTTGGAGCATCAGATCTTCAGGTTTGCTGAGATGATTTCGCGTGAAAGGCACAGCACTTCGTATGACCTGGCATCACTTTTTTGTGGCAGGCGCAGTACTTTCAACAGGTGGACTGGAAAAAACACAAAACGCATTGGTACGAGGCCGTCAGCGCTGCAGTCAACTTTCCATTTTTGAAGGAAGTCTCGCAGAACTGCTTCGTTTTTGACGTTGTTAAGTTCAAAAATGAAGGAAGTCTCGCAGAATTGCTTCGTTTTCAAGCTTGCAAATAGACAGGTAGATAGATAGATAGACAGACTGACAGAGAGATAGAGAGATAGAGAGAAAAGGGAGAGAGAGAGAGATAGATAGATAGGTAGGTAGGTAGGTAGATAGGTAGGTACGTAGATAGGTAGATAGACAGATAGATAGATAGATAGATAGGTAGATAGACAGATAGAAAGATAAATAGCCATAGATAGATAGATAGATAGATAGATAGATAGATAGATAGATAGATAGATAGATAGATAGAGATAGATAGATAGATAGATAGATAGATAGATAGATAGTAGGTAGAGGTAGGTAGATAGGTAGATAGATAGATAGATAGACAGATGGATGGATAGATAGATAGGTCGATAGTTAGACAGACAGTTAGATAGACAGATGAGAGAGAAATAGATAGATAGATAGATAGATAGATAGATAGATAGATAGGTAGATAGATAGATAGATAGATAGATAGGTAGATAGGTAGATAGGTAGATAGGTAGATAGATAGATAGATAGACAGATGGATGGATAGATAGATAGGTCGATAGTTAGATAGACAGTTAGATAGACAGATGAGAGAGAAATAGATAGATAGATAGATAGATAGATAGATAGGTAGGTAGGTAGATAGGTAGATAGGTAGATAGATAGATAGATAGACAGATGGATGGATAGATAGATAGGTCGATAGATAGATAGACAGTTAGATAGACAGATGGGAGAGAGATAGATAGATAGATAGATAGATAGATAGATAGATAGATAGATAGATAGGTAGATAGGTAGATAGGTAGATAGGTAGATAGGTAGATAGATAGATAGATAGACAGATGGATGGATAGATAGATAGATAGATAGACAGATGAGAGAGAAATAAATAGATAGACAGATGAGAGAGAAATAGATAGATAGATAGATAGATAGATAGATAGATAGATAGATAGATAGATAGATAGATAGATAGATAGGATAAGATGGATAGGATAAGATAGATAGGATAAGATAGATAGATAGATAGATAGATAGGTAGATAGGTAGATAGGTAGATAGGTAGATAGGTAGATAGATAGATAGATAGACAGATGGATGGATAGATAGATAGGTCGATAGTTAGATAGACAGTTAGATAGACAGATGGGAGAGAAATAGATAGATAGATAGATAGATAGATAGACAGATAGATAGATAGATCGATCGATCGATCGATCGGTAGGTAGGTAGGTAGGTAGGTAGATAATCAGAGAAGAGAGAGAAAGAGAGGAGAACTCAACCACCTTTCGATCCATCAGTGGCTTCGCTCTGCCATCCGTGATTCACAGCAACCAACCTCTCCTATAGGTTTCCTATTTTTGAAACTTCCGCCACCGCCTTGTGCGGCACTACTGGTATATACGCAATGTCGAAAGTTTCACCTGGAATTCTTGGCTGATTTTCCCAATTTGGGTTAGGTAATCCCATCGCCTTAATATTACACATCCCAAGCAAAACCTTGGAAAACGTATGCGAACGTAAGCTCCTACGTAAGCTTTGAATTCTCGCTCAGGAGATCAAAAGGAATTTTGAACACAGCTCAATATGTGGCTGTATCCCCTATTATTCCCTTATTAACCCATGGTTTCGCAGGTGCGCCAGGAAGCGAGTCGCACGGTCCGTGCCAGCCTGGAGCAGGTAGAGAAATCGGTGGGCTCAAACAGATTCCGGTTGGGGGACGGCTGTGATCAACAAATCGTCCCAGTCAACCCATCTCCGGGCAGGTGATCGAAGTGGCCTTCGCGCGATGTAACCGTTGTGTGATGTGCCTGGCCATGCTGTTGGCCGGCGGATTATTAGTCGTCGCAACCTGGAACCTGGGCTGAAGAGGTTGGAATGCATGTGCCTCACCAAGTTTTGTTGGGTGAAATCCCAATTTTAGTGGTGATTTCCCACATGGGGATGGGTTAAAACATCTTAAAACCTATTGTTACCATAGTTGGTGGAATAACCATCCATTAACCAGCTATTTTAGGGTACCTTAGGTGGTGGAATAACCATCCATTAACCAGCTATTTTAGGGTACCTTAGGTGCCAGGGTTTTGACTCATAGCCACATCTTGAGCTCTTCGCTGAGGGCTGAGCTCGTTTACTCGGGACACGAGGGTGATCACTGTGATCAACCGCTAGCAATGATGCTCAGGCTGGGTTGCAAGGAGTGGGTTCCTCTAGCAAACGGGGTAATTATCCACAATTCCAGGGATTGGTTGTAAATGATTACGAATGTAGTCGTTTCTTCCCTTTAAACTTGTTATTTTGTTTTTTTGGGTAAAACCATCGGACAGCTCCAAATTTTGGGTGCGCCCTAATTGTTTATTGGAATGAAACACCTTGACAAACAACACGTCGATTCTATGACCAAACAAGGAATGACACTTTGTGGTTCCCAACGGATTTTAGATTGGGCCCATACCCAAATTCTCTGATGTTTGATGCAGGACGGACAAAGATGATTAGGATGATTGCAGACCTGAAGGGTTTTGGACAATTGTGCATGTAAACAAACAGCTGTGAACACCAGCTCTTCCAACTGCTTCATTCGATGGTTGTTCTTCCAGTCAACCGGTATGCTCCGGCAATCCTCAATTTGTCGATGATTTTCCCATGAAGATCTCTATTTGCTGAAAAACGTCCCACAGCTGAGCACCGGAGGGTTGTGGGGCGTGGGCTGACCACGTGAGGTTGATTTTCTTGATCATCATAGTACAAACCATGCAGAGAGCCATCACGCGCCACTGCCTTTGCTATGACATGGCACAGGAGATGTGGAGATGGTTTCGGGATTCACCTTTATCATCGCTACATGCTTTGGGGTAGTTATATCTTGACCACAATGGTGAGTAGAAAGTCGGGTTTCCGTCAAAATCCATAATTTTTCTTGGTTCGTTTCCGTCAAATGTCGGCCACTCCCCATATTTTCTTGGGCTTCGACTCTCCATGTTCTATGGGTGAGAGGACCAGTTGGCCAGTTGGTCTTACATTCTTTTCCGGCCCTATCGTACTTCATTTTAATGTATGTTTTACCAATAATTTTTGGTCAAGATTCCATGTTTGATGCTTGAAATCAAGTTTGTTTTTTTTTAAATGTTGGACCTCACGAGTTGGTCAACTTTCCATTGAGGCGCACATCCCCATTCTTCTTAGTCAACATCCCACTGTTTTATCCATTTTTTAAATGTTTGTTTGATGGGTCCGAAAAAAATGTCGACCTCAGACCGATCCAACTGGAAATGGTGGTCAATAGATTGAAGAATCTCAAAAACAGTTTTTTTTCCAGTTCATGAAAGATGGCTCAAACGGGCCGGGCCTAGGGATGGGTCAAACTCCGTTCAGCAGGTTGAATCCCTACGGGTGATGACATATTTGTTGATGATTAAATCCCTCTTCAATCCCCATGACATCAAATTTTCGATGGTTAACTCCTAATGTCCCGGAATTTCGCTGGTTAAATCCACATTTCCCGATTTGTTGCTGGTTAAATCATGTTAAATCATGTTAGATGCATTTTCATATTTTCTTCGGCACATCAACTTCAGGATGGCCCCGTTGAGCCCTGCCGTGTGCGGCTCTTCCGCTTCCTATCGCTGCTAGCGGCCGTGGCGTGGCCCGTAGCTGCAGGCTGTGATTCTTTGGAGGATTTTTTTCGGGATTTTGTGGGGATGTTTGAGCTGTTTTTGGATGTTTTTTTGGGATGACGTGCTTGTTTTCAAGGATTTTTTAAATGTTTGTTTGATGAATTTGACGATGTTTGATGAATTGATGATTTGTTTGATCGTTTTTGATAGTTTGTGAGGATGTTTGATGATTTTTTCCATATTTCCAGATGTTCATTGTTTTTTCTGGTAATTAATTGCAGATGGTGATTTTTGCAACAAGCACTGGAGATTCAAGCAATGAACGTGCTGATGGCAGCAATAATTGGGATGTTTCCAATAAACTCGGGAGTGTGCCCGCAGAGGGAAATCCACCCAGGGCCCAAGCAATGCCACACTTAGCCGGTGTATGGCCCCACCGTTTCGGTTTCCGCCGAGAAAGCCTGCGGAAAACATCAAAATGTGCATCCTTGGCAGGGCACCACCAGTTGGGTCTGTCGGTTCATACTAACCCATCAAACTAGTTTGAGATCCTGCCTTTGATTCCCTGTGGTTCACAAGACATAGCAAGATAAATGGTACAGAAGTAAAGTTATGTAGCAGGCTCCACGACATTGTACGACTCTTGCCTGATGTGGTATAAATCATCTGTTAATAAACCCATTTTTCTGTATTTTTGTTGGTCATTTCCAACAGTTAAAGTCAGGCATTTCAACCAGCAGAAGCCACGAAGTCTTCCTGTGGCAGGATGGATGCTGATGAAAAGCGAGTCGTGCAGCAGTCAGCTCAAACTGGCGGTGGCCCTGCTCCTCGACAGAGTTGGCGCGGGGATTCAAGCCATTCAACCTACAAAGAATGGTGGAAGAAATTAACTAGTACTATAGTAATGTACATATAATAAAAGTAGTTCATACAACTATAGTATTATGAATTCGTTATCATAGTAAGATACCATATAATATAACTATGTTGGTATAATATAACAAAACTATGGTTGAAAAAACAATAATGTACTATACCAGTAGTACCCGCACGAGGCGGGGCGGAAGTTGCCTTAGGGATATACTATAAGACCTTTCTCATCTATAGAACTTGCATGCGCCATGCGCCAGCCAGGCCCGTGCGTGCGTGCATTCTGCGAAAGTGGTGTCCTGTTTCACATGTCACATTTGAAGCTCCACTTCTCACTTCACACTTCTCACTGCACTCTTCACACTCCACACTTCACACTTCACACTCCACACTTCACACTGCTTTCTTCGCATTCCACGCTTCACTTCACACTGCACTCTTAAGACTCCACACTTCACACCCCACACTTCACACTTCACAGTCCACACTTCACACTTCTCACTTCTCACTGCTTTCTTCGCACTTCGCACTTCACACTCCACACTTCACACTTCACTCTTCACACTGCACTCTTCATCTCATCTGAGCTCTTCTCACCTTGTCCCAGCTCATCTCTTCTCATCTCACCTCTTCTCATATGTCATCTAAGCTTTCATGAATCACTTCCCAGTACTACTTCAAGAACTTGCATGCGCCGTGCGCCAGCCAGGCCCGTGCGTGCGTGCTTTGCGAAGCTGCTGCAGTGTTGTTGTCCAAGAACATGACCTGCGCGCGACCCCGGTGCAATGCAATGCCAAGCGAAAACTTTCCTCACACTTCACATTGCACTCTTCACACCCTGCACTTCGCACTTCACACTTGCACTTTTCGCACTCGACACTTCATCTCATCTCAAATCATGTGAGCTCTTCTCACCTCATCTCAGCTCTTCTCATCTCATCCCATCTCTTCTCACATGTCATCTAAATAACTTCTTCTCAACTGTTTTCACCTCATCCGAGCACTGTCAGCACACAGAAGCTTGAGACACAGATGCATGTACACTTTACACAGGAAAAGCCTCTAGAAAGTATCTTTGTACTACAAAGCTTAGCTCATCTCCCCAGTTCTTCTGTAGCCCGAAAAAGTTTTGTTAACACACAAAAGCACTTCCCTTCGTCACCACACTCCCTTCGTCACCACTTCCCATCGTCACCACTTCCCTTCCTCACCACTTCCCTTCGCCACCACTTCCCTTCGTCACCACTTCCCTTAGTCACCACTTCCCAAAGTCACCACTTCCCATCGTCACCACTTCCCTTCGTCACCACTTCCCTTAGTCACCACTTCCCAAAGTCACCACTTCCCTTCGTCACCAAAGTCACCACACTCCCTTCGTCACCACTTCCCAAAGTGACCACACCCCCTTCGTCACCACTTCCCTTCGTCACCACTTCCCTTAGTCACCACTTCCCTTAGTCACCACTTCCCATCGTCACCACTTCCCTTCGTCACCACTTCCCTTAGTCACCACTTCCCAAAGTCACCACTTCCCTTCGTCACCAAAGTCACCACACTCCCTTCGTCACCACTTCCCAAAGTGACCACACCCCCTTCGTCACCACTTCCCTTCGTCACCACTTCCCTTAGTCACCCCTTCCCATCGTCACCACTTCCCTTCGTCACCATTTCTCTAGGTCACCACTGCCCTTCGTCACCACCCTGTGTCATAGTTTTTTTGGTTGATGTATGGTTATGTGATGTCAAGTCTCACACCGCCCTTCAGCAATGTCAAGATTTCAAGTCTCACAGCGCCCTTCATCAATGTCAAGTCTCACAGTTCTATTTGTCCGTAACACGGAAGTATTGCTTCCCAACTTCCTTTGATAATATAACATAGTTTAGTATAAAATAGTATAACTATGTAAAATATAGTTATATCACATGTGGAAATGGTTTCAAATCAACCACAAAAATATGTTTTTTAATACTAAACATGGCTGATTTTGCGGGTCCTTTTCTAGCTGCAACCAAGAGCAAACTGGAAATTTGCTTGGTAAAGAGACAATATCCGCAGGAGGTGATTTTCCGAAGGTCCATGGTGGTGGGTTGAAGCCTTTGGGTCAGAAAATGGGGTACTGCATGGTACTGCACTCCCAATTCCAGAGGACATCACAGGACTATGTAATTATATAGCTAAATAATATATCATCATGTTTCTCAATGTTTCCCAATGTTTCCCATTTGAAACTGGCAATTTGGATGGTGAATCGTTGTTTTTCTTATTTTTTGGCGACAGCGTTGCCAGGATCATTGGCTACTACTGCGCCTTAGCTCAGCCCTCAAGCTGTTGGAGTGACGGTCACCATCGTTGATCGACCAAAAAAACCCAAGATTTTGCAGGTTGCAGTGGTCGTCGTGCTCCCATTTATCGTGATTTCTGCTACTTGGACTGTCGCAAAGGGACTGGCGTAGATTGTTCATGATTTGTTGTAGGGCCAGTTTTTGGATGAACTTGAGGTATAAAAAAATGAAACTGACTATACTATTGATATCTTTTCGCAGGAGCATCACCATTTTTTATGAAACCCTCCCCTGTTGATGATTATGCGTTCGGATGACTATGATTCGTTCGCCCATTCGGCCCATGTTTTCACCTTGTTTTTTGCAAAAATTTTTGGGCCTTTATTACGCGTTGTTCCTAAAATCCCCTTTGTCTGAAGATGTTCGTCCCCCAAATCCAATTGGTGTCCAAAAAATTCTCAAATCCCCACATTTTCGCCCCGAAAGTCCAGACATCCAAATGATGATGATTAAGTTCCCATCTTTAGATTCCCAGAATCTTCCTACCTTGATGGAAATAAATGGAAGTAACCATTAAACTACCAAGCAATTCGTGGCTAACTATCCCATGAAAACATCATTAAATCACATAAATCCCATTCAAAAAATAATTAAAATCCATTGAGCCACCATTAGAACAGTAAAACCCATTTAAACACGATTAAAGCAACAATCAATCCCATTAAATCCAATTTTTAACACCATTAAATTCAATGAACCCCAATGAAAACACCAGTCATTTCCGATTACCACACCATTAAACCACCATTAAAAACCAAATTTTTGGTGCAGGGCTTGCTCTGCCTCATTCGCCGCGGGCTTGTCGCCCTGCCCCGGATGCCGGGCGCAGCACCCGAGGCGCGGAAGGGGGTCCAAAAACACAGTGACCTTGGGATTTTCATGGGAAAATCGGGGAACATATGAAACATATGTAATTTATTGCTATTTTGATGGGAACATATGGGAAAACACATTAGGAACTCCCAATTTTATTGGGATTTTCATGGGAAAATATAGGAAAACTATTTGGAAATCCCCAATTTATTGCGATTTTCATGGGAACATATCGGGAAATCCTCAATTTATTGGGATTTGTTTTTTTTAATGGGACAATCATCAAATGAGGATTTGAAATGATTTTAATGGGAAGATCACCGCGACATGAGGATATTTCTGGGAACTCCATCTATGGAACCAATCAAGAATTCATGGGGATATCATTGATACAGCACCAATGTGTACCAATGGGGAGAGACAATTATAATCATTTATATAGAATGGAGATGTAACGATACACACTTAGACACATTTGGCCTGGTGTTAAACGGGTAGAATCGGCAGCCAAGGTTGGTCAGTTCGGAGGAAACCAACCCATGGCCTTAAATCTGCTTTGTGGATGCTCTTATTGATCAAACGTGGGGATCTAACTTGAATCCGAAAATCCGAAACAAGGATAGCTACCATATCTACCATATCTGCCCCAAATCAGGATACAATGATCCAGATGACATGCGGCTACCTCCTGCCAATAGGGACATGAATCCAAACCTGAGTGCTGATTGTGCAGCCACGATGGCAAGCAGTTGGATTTCAAACGTGCCACAACATGAAGCACACGATGTATGGTATTTGTGTTTCTATGGACCAACTTGGGTCTGAAAATAGGGTCCCAATTTGAGACAAAACCACATAACGTTGGCTATATCCCATGATCTCCCCATTGTAGCTCGATGATCTGCCCATGATGGGTTAATACCCCGTCTTGGACAAACCCAGATGCTTGGAAGCGCTGTCCACGAAACATGTCCCAGAAGACGGCACAGTTTACATTTGCTGCAGCCGATTTCCGGCTGAAATGTTTCGGTGACATCATGGGTTTGTCCAAAAATGTGAAATTGAACTCTCCAAAACGGCATCTTTTAGTGGGCAACGTGATAGAAATAACCCTGGAAATCAGGGCATACTATTTTTGGACAAACCCGAAGACGCACCCAACACATGCGGATTTCAGGTTCCTCCTTGGGATTAGGTGAGCTAGTTCCATGGAGGTGTGCTCCGCCGTCACGGGTGAGCTGATGGCAGTTCTGGGTGCAGATGAGTTCCAAGAGAAATCCGCACAGGCAGTGAAGCAATGCTTGACAGCTCGGTTGGGTGTCACCAGATTTCTCTTTGGCGAAGATGGTAGTGAGCTACAGGATGATGAGATCTTCGTGGTGCCCGTCAAGGTTCAGTTGATCCTTTTAGACTTTTGGACGGAGGAACAAGACCAAGAAATCATCTCTGCTGCGGGTGAGAATGATTCGGTTGCACTTCAAAAGCTGCTGCAAAGGCCGCAGAATCCCAATGTCACAGATGAACAAGGCAAGACTCCTCTTCACTACGCGGCTCAGAATGGACATGGTGAAGCAGTGAAGCTCTTGATTGAGGCAGGTGCAGAGAAAGATGCACCAGACAGAGAACTGATGACCCCTCTGAGCTGGGCTGCTGGTCAAGGTCATTTGGATGTTGTCCGCTTCCTGCTTGATGTTGGTGCTGAAAAAGAACAGGCAGATGTGGATGGATCAACACCTTTACATTATGCAGCTGGGGAGGGGGAATTGGAGATTGTTCGTTTGTTGATTGAACTAGGGGCCGACAAGGACTGGCCGAATACAGCTGCCAGGTCGACCCCTTTACACTTCGCAGCTTACAACGGTCAGTCAGACGTTGTGCGATTACTGGTTGAAGTCGGTGCTGACATAGAGAAAGTTGATGACACTGGTGCAACATCGTTGCATGTAGCAGCTGAAGAAGGGCATCTGGAGACTGTCCGTTTGCTTTTAGAAATGGGAGCTGATAAGAATCAAGCTACGACGGAGGATGGGTCAGCACCCCTGCACTGTGCAGCTTGGGCCGGCCATTTGGAAGTCGTCCGTTTACTGATTGAAGCAGGGGCTGAGAAAGATCAGCTGAGATGCTACGATGGGTCTACGCCTTTGCATTGTGCAGCCGCAGACGGTCATCTGGACATTGTGCAATTGTTGCTTGAACTTGGGGCCACATATCAGGCCACAGAAGCGGGCGAAACCCCACTGTTTCATGCAGCCTTCAATGGCCATACTGACATTGCCCGCTTCCTGCTTGAGAGGCCATGCACCATGGGTGATTTAACGCTGCATTTTGCAGCTCAACTAGGCCACCTGGAGATAGTGCGCTTGCTGGTTGAAGTCGGTGCTGGCAAAGATCAGGCTGACAATCAAGGTGCAACCCCAATGCACATTGCGGCTGAGGAAGGCCATCTTGATATTGTTCGCTTCTTGATGGAGTCTGGTGCTGATTCTGATAGAAGCACCAACCAAGGAGCAACTGCTTGGGATTTGGCATCTTGGGGTGGCCACCAGCAAATAGCTGACGAACTTGCCATCAACCGTTGCCTCCCCAGCGGTTTGTTGTAACGGACAATGCTACCTCGGCCTCAGTAAGCTATATGGTGAATCCCCCAAAGTTTACTGGCGCTTCCCAGTGGTCGAAAAACTCGGCACCATTTTGATCACACTTTCCGCATACTGCATGCTTCACTTTAAATAGACGTATACAGCATCATATAGCATCAAATACCATCATACAATCAAACATCGTTTTATCACATACCAACATCATAACCATACGTATAATATATATATGATATATGATATATGATATATTATCTATAATATATATAATTATATATATATAATAATGTGATACCATTGTCATAAACCCCTATTGGGGATGGTTATGGCGGTGAATTCTACATTTCAAGAACCACCAAAAAAAAGGGCGTGGATCCATTCGTGGTGCAGGGCGCTTTGGATCAACTGCCAGAAATCACTTTTGATGCGACGAGGTGCGGGGGGATTTTTCGGAGGTTTTTTCTTGGGGAATTTATAGTGGTGAATGATATGATAGTGGTGGTGAATAGCTAACTGTTGGGTGAATAATATGGTGAATAATATGGAATAATTGTGGTGAATAATATGGAATAGCTAACTGGGGTTCCAATGGAAAGAAGAGGTGTAGCCTTACAACTCTATCCTGAGACAAAAGTGAGATGTTTGTGGGTCAATAATTGACCCGCAAGAACAATGGTACTTGCTAGGCTGGCACAATTTTGGTGGAGAGAGGATTCGATGGGATTCGAGGCGAACCCTGCCATTTCTTCAGGGCAAAACTTTCAACACCTCTATGTTTTGTTGGTACAATCATCACTAGCCCCATTTTTTAATGGCCATTTCAGAGGGATATCAGAGGGATATAATATATATATATATATTACCCCATTTTCAGACACACCATCCACACCATCCTAAAATCCTCCCATGTTCAGTTTGGATCTCCTCAGTAAGTCATAGGTTCAACGACGAACCCTTGGGTTTCCCTTCGGCATGTGCGGTGTGCCTGGATCCCTTCAACGGTCAGAAGGTGGGACAGCCATGACTGGGAATGGGAAGTTTATACCATCTATAATCCACATTAAACATGAATAAACCATGATATTTATAGTGTATGTACTGTATATACCATCATTTTTCTCATCATTTTTCGCATCATCTTTTGGTTGAATCTTTGAAATTGCATGAAAATCTACGGGCAGAATTCCATGATGCCCAGCTGAAAATGATTGCACATGAATGTTTTTGTAGGGTAGCTGGGATCAGGCACTGCGCCTTGCTTATCCCCGCAATAGTTGGATAGTGAGGGTTGATTATAGGATGATCATGGTCCGATGGTGACTGGAATCATGGCTTGCGGGATCCCAATATAACCCACAAAAATGGGGATTTCAGCGACCATGAGGATCTGGACGATTGAGGCTTTCATGGCTTTCATCATCGTCATGATGATTTGATGATATCAACAATACCCTATAGAAACCTTTGAAAACTGGCCATGTTCGATATCAAACTGTTAAGTTACCGGGTAAGAACCATCCTTTCCATCCCCAGTCTTTCAGAACTCCTCCCTACATTCCGTGGCATGACGGAGGTCATTGTGCAGACTCCCTGTGGCCACATCTTTCACAAGCGATGCTTGGGTGGCTGGATGCAGGCGCCAAAACACCTGGAATGGGCTTCGAAACCTGACAAAAACAAAAGGGCACCTTCAAGCTCTAGTGGTTTAGACCATCTCAAAATTTCCTTTTTTTTTCCGGTACGTAAGCCCCAAAAAGATCGAAGTTGGTAACATTCGGCCATAGATTCACCAACTGGGTTGCAGGTGGCTCGAAGCTGTCCTCTGTGTCGTTCAGACGTGGCAGGTCGGCGGCTCGGGACTCGGATGAATTTTCATGGGATTTAAGCACCAACTGAAAATTCGATTTAATGGGATTTAAAGGTTTTTCAAATGGGGATTTAACCGAAAAAATGGTGACTAAAAAAGTTTTTTTTTTTTCTATATGGATATAACTGATGTAACCAATGAAGAGTGGCTATTTCTTGTGAGGATTTCATAGGGATTTCAGCAACCAATGTGGGGATATCACTCTAATGATTAGAAGAGTTATTGGGATATCCGAACAAACTCAATATCACGACCTGCACCGTGAAGAAACAGCTTCCCAGCGTCAGGAGAAGCGTGAGTGGACAGATTTTTTGGGTCTTGTTGCTTGAACAGGAGCCAGGTTTCACTGGGGTCACAGAGTCCAGCTGGGGAGTTGGTATGAGTTGGTTAAGCTGGGTGCCTCCAAGACAACCAGCAGTTGCATATCATGTCTCATATATACGTATATATATATACAGTGTATATATATATATATGGATCACCATAGCTATATCCATGTGGATCACGCGATAAGCTCATAGCTTGTTTAATTGTATGTCTATGTAGTATGTACATACTAGTAGCATATTATATATACATATATATATATACGTATGGATACACAATTAGATACGTACACCATCATCATTTACAGATAGACATTTCTCTGGGAAGTTCCCCCAGTTGCGAAATCGCACCAACTGCACCAACTCCCTGACGTTCGCCCTCAAGATTCGTTGAGTCCTGCCAAGTCAAAACGCACGTCGCAGCCGCGGTTTCTTTTTGCCGAGCAGCATGATCATCCCATGAAGAGATTAATGAGGTACCTGTTTTGCAGCAAAAAGAAACGGTTTGAGGAGGATATTTTAGGCATTGTTTTTGATTCAAAGAACTAGCAAACGTATCCAAACATGGGTCTTTTTCGAGTCAACAAATAAGATTAAACATGGTGATTTAGCCAACAAGAACTTGTTTTCACCAAGAAACATCAGAGGTTTGCTCCAATGGGGATTCGGCCAGCGAGCAATCCGGACATGGAGATTTCCTCTCGAAAATGGGGATGTTGATGTCACCAAAAGAAACGATGAAATGCGGACTTCGACACAGCTGATTTGACAGGGACTTACATAGGTGGGATTCTGTGGGATTCTGGTCTCGGAATGGTCGGATCCTGCCCTCGCAGGCGCAATTGCTGTCACTTTGCAGATGACTTCTGCAAACGCCAGAGACCCAGTGCCAGAACGAGCCGTTGACCGAAAGCCGTTTGGCACTGGTTCACCTTTTCCGGCGAAATGGGAAGTTTGTGGTATACCCCAATTGAAGACACACCCAAATTAGTGTGTAATACATTTATGATTAATTGTATATTATGTAATTATATATTATATAAATGTAATCATATATATATATATAATATATAAATAATGTCTTTTGCTACTACTTCTTAATTGAATATGACTGATTTTATAGTGTGAGTTCTCCCAAAGCTCCCAGTTTTCTGCTCCAACAGTGGAGGTCTGTCAGTTTCGCCCATTCCAAATTGGGCTCGGGAAGCCAAGGGCTGGGAGACTGCGCAAGCGCAGCAAGGGTTTTTCACCGTGCTTTCTAGTTGACACTATATATATATTATATATATATTATATATATATATATATCGACTTATTAAAAAAAACACCAAAAACCAGAGCCTGGTTTTTAAAGTTTTAGTGGAATTGCGATTTTCTTACGCCGACGATGATTCTGAAAGCAGTGTTGTTCTGCATTACTTCTCATGGTTCCACTTGCTCCTTGGGTCCGGCCTCCTGAAACCAACAGTTCGGTCTATTTGCCCCCAGAACTGGGGTGAACTAAACAGATCGCCATAGATCGCCACTAAATTGTGTGGTTAATCCATTGTTTCTTCATCCTTTTTGTTGGTTCAATCCACATCTCAAAGTCCCCCAATATCTCCAACTCCCATATCACTGTGGAATATTGTGGAGATGAAGTCACTTGACCTCTCACCATTTTCGCATCACTTTCATGTGAAAAGTCCATTGAAGTCCCCCCGATTTCGCCCTGAAAACCGCTCCTTGAAGCTCTGCTGAGGTGCATCGCTTGGCTCGCTTTGGCGCAGGGGTCGATGAGACCCTGCAGGTGGGGAGATCTTTCCGAGACTTAAAAACATGGATCATCAGCATATTTGAAGAACATGATACATGTAGATATACATGATATGTATATATATATATACACAGTATATATGTTCTAAGACTCTAAGATGTTCTAAGTATATGTCCATTTATATATATATATATTGAGACTTTGCAGTTGTTCTTTTCCATGGGACTTATATATCCAACATGTATCCACTGTTTATTGAGTCTTGGTTAATATGCATTTTTTGGGGATATAGTGGAGTATACAGTGGGATATTAATGGCATATTAATGGGATACTCATGGGACATCAACAAGCAGCACATCTTTGTGTCTGAAAATGCAGTACACCCCCAGACGTGACCATTTTTGATGTGGATAATGATTGTTAACCAAAGGAAGGAACGGGGTGCCCTATTTTCAGACCTTTGGTGGAGGCAAAAAATTGGGATACATCGCTGGGCTCCTTCCCAGTGGCAGTGAAAGTCAGGAAATGCGCGTTCCTAGTACTTAGTCTTCAGGAAAGGGTCACAATATTATGGAAATATTCTGGCATGGATATACATGGAAATATCATGGGATTTATCATCATTCAATGGACGTATTATGAAAGGACATATTTTTGTAAATATCATGGGCATTGCTGACACTGCCAACCTCTGTTGATAGATAATGTTTCACAGGGGGTCATTTTCCGCTACCTGGTTGGGGATTATGATCTGACCAACCAGAATTTAGTGGAAAACATATAAGTATACAATACAGAGATTTATCATGGAAATACCAATGGCTATGGAAACCAATGGCTATTTATTTCAAGTGTTCTTAATGAATGGTTGTTATCCACGTAAACTCTATAGGCATATAAGGGACCCAATTTATCGGAAATAGGATAAATCTATATGAAGCTGACTTTCCATAGATATTTCCATTTCCAAACATTTTTCTGATGGACACATCGAATATTTCAGCGCTTCTAATCCCACCTTGACCATGGGGGTTTCGACAAATGTGGCTACCCCAAGCGAGCTTGGGATGGTTTAGAGTGGAAAATTCCAATCTAAAATGGATGATTTGGGGGTACCACCATAACTTAGGAAACCACCATATATAATAATGTATATATATATATAGACATACACACAGAATGTCTCCTGAGAACGGAAATATCAACGAAATTCAAGGGATACAGAACTGTACCCAGACAACTTCTCTTCTACTGGGCGCCAAAAAACCGGAGCGCCGACAGCTTGCAGCCTCAATGTGTCGCCGAGCGGACGGAACGAAATCGATCGAAACCGTATCTGTCCCGCGTTGCGCGCGTTGCGGCACTGCTGACGACGGAAATGGCCACAACGGTCCTTGGGACGATTTCTGAGGGTTGCGCCTGCGCGCTTTCTAGATCCGGCGGAACCTCTGAAAAACATTGGGAGCTTTGTTCTGGAAACAGCATTGCTGCTGTTGCACAAAAGCCAAAGATTGCTGGAGCCACAAGAGCTTTTGCTTTGTGTGTTGGAGCTGACAGGATTGTAGCATGGGGCTGTGGTGGTGACAGCACTGCCGTCAAAGATAAACTCAGGAGCGTTCAGGAAATTCATCCCACGCACTCTGCTTTCGCTGCCATTTTGGGAGATGGATCTGTGGTGACATGGGGCAATCCCAACAGTGGTGGTGACAGCAGTGCAGTTCAAGATCAGCTACGGGCCCTTAAAGAGATTCATTGCAGCATTGCACAATGGTAGCTTTGGCTGCGATCTTGGCAAATGGAAGTGTGGTGACATGGCCCCGCTTTGACTGTGGTGACAGCACTGGAGTTCAAGATCAGCTCAGAAACGTTCAGCAGGTTGGTCTGACGTTACGCGCTTTTGCTGCGATCTTGGCAGGTGGGTCTGTGGTGACATGGGGCAGAGATTGGCCACTCAGCAGCAGCCTCTGAGGCCATTTCGGCAGACGGAGGTTTGGTGTCATAGGGTGCTTTGAATTTTGCTAGTGACAGCTCTGGTGTTCAGGAGCAGTTGAGCTACATGTAGGTGCGTGTCAGTGGACAAAGGGCTAGCACGCACTTGTGCAGTTGGGGTGATCATATCATACAACATGGTTTTTCACGATGGGACTGTGGGATTCTGGCCCCCTATAAGTTGGGATGTAGGATTTTTTGTATCGTGAAATATATCCACTTGGTTCACTGGAACTCCACACCCAAGTAATTCCAACCTGGCATGGGGGTGGACCAGATGAAACTTTCAACAAGCTGGCTCCACAGATGGAAAGAAGCATGTCTCATGTTCTCCTTGTCCTCAACGTTGGCTCAAAAGATGCTGCCATGGTGGAAACAGCAAAGCTCAAGACATCATGGTTTGTTTCCTTACAATTCAGGACTCAGGACATCTGAAGGTTCGCTACTCGTATGCAAGTCACTGACAGGACTTCCAGAAACAAGTTGAGTTTGCAGCTGATGAACTGAACTATCCATCCTAAGTTTGATTCGGGACTTTTCACACACCAAAAATGGCGAAAACCAGCTGAGAGTTTCCACAGAGAGTTTGTGTCACCCACAGTCGTCGCCATGCCGGCGCCCATGGAAGATGGAGAAGCTGATCAGGTGTGGAGATCTGAGGGGTGCTTTGTTTTGGATGTCTATGTTTCTCATTGTAATCATTTCTTATTTTTGAATAAAGATGAATAAAGAACATTGGTGATAAAATCTGATAAAATTATGGTGCTCGGAGAAGATCCTGCTCGCTTAACCCATGTTGTGTTTTTTTTGGAGAGTTCGCTATGAGAAAATCGTACCGGCTTTGATGGCCTGGGGTGTCGATTTATCATCATCTCTCCATAAAATGGCCATGTCCGGGGTAAATCTCCTTCTCAGACAAGCCCTGACAATAAATACAATGTTGAGCTGGTTATAGCTGGTTATATAACTCTGCATCCTAATTCTAGCTCAATCATATCTTAATATATCTTAATTATGATTATTATATCCTAGTTAATCCATATTTACATGGAAAAATCTATCGCCACATTGGCTTGCTAAAATCCCCTAACAGGTTTCCAACCAATATTGGTCGCCACGTGAGGTGATCTCATCCTACGCCCAATGGCTAGTGAACTGCCTGTCTGAACATCGGGCACGGGAGGTGGGAATTCAAACATGGGATGTTTTCGTGGCCGTTTTCTTGGGAGACTTTGATGGGAGACTTAGATAATGGGATGATCTAACATGATATAACTATGATATAACTATGATATAACTATGATATAACTATGATATAACTATGATATAAGATGGTATATAACATCATAGAACCAACAGGATGGTGTGGAGTTTCAAGATGATATGTTGCTGGCTGCCCTGAAATGAGGGAAATACCATGGAATTGCAGGGCAAACAGTTTTGCTTTGAAACCTCTGGATGGAATGGGGCACCCTGTGGACGAACCAGATCATGACAACATATATGAAAACTATTGAAAACTGAAAGCAGCCGGGTGACATCTAAACCGATTTTTGCTTTACAATTCATCCCCAGTTTTCTCTGAAAGCAGCTAAGATTTCCGCTGATGGATCGGTCCCCATTGGTTGATAGGAGGCAAGAATGAGGAATGACGCACAACCTGACACAATCGATGTTTAAGTCCTTATGGTTGATCCCCCAAAAAATATCTAGAACATTCGGACTGAAAAATATCAATTAACCATCAATCATATTCAATCATCAGAATTGTTCTATGGAGATGTCCGAATTTGCTCGCCTCAAATCATCCTTAAAATTATTTTTTGTGGCAATCCACAGGAAGTCTTGTCCAAGGAGATCACCGCGGTGCGAGAGGCGCTGAGTGAAAAAAAAACGTGAAGCTGCGCTTTAGATATTAATACTATAGATATACGATAGATATTATACTAAGCCAATATAGATATATAGAGATATATAGATATACTATATTATAAGTGAATATTATATTACTATATTATAAGTGAATATTATTCACTCTATAGTATATATATTCACCTGGAGATATACAAAGGGTCCATATACTGTGAATCACTAGCAAAATGGCAATCGCTGAAAATCGAGTCTATCCCCATATATCAATGTATTTGTTTGATACTAGAAGACCAGACATACACACTAGCTTCCTGCGTTTCTGAAATGTACCCGGGCTTACAACTGCAACACCTAGGGTTAGCTATGCTTGCAACCTGTTCCAACCTCCTTTGATGATTAGGTTTACCTTTTAATCGGACATTAAAAGAACTATGACATTATGACAAGTCAAACACGTCGCGAAAGTGCATTGGAAACACTACACTGGATCATGATTAGGCGATGCAGGCAATTTTACCAACATCTACATTAAGATCACTCAACACTGTTTCAAGACCATACATACCAAACTGATTCACACTAAACTCATATCAAGCAAAACCACTACCACAATGTCAAGATTCATGTCCAAGAATTCCACACCTTCTTATTCCTGTTGTTGCAATCTTGTTATCCTTGGTGACTTTCCATTTTTGCAGATCACATCCTGCAGAAATCGCTTAAAGTCATCGCTGGATCCTTATAAATCACCATCCCCATGTTTGTTTATTCTTGTTTGAGAATCAACAATATTGGTGATTATCAAACATGCATGGTTCATTTATGTTCATTTACTATCCCCATGTTATCTATGAAAAGTATCCGTTTATCAACAGTCTCCCAATTTTTATTGGTTGATAAGTATAAGTCATAAAGTTAGATCATCCTTAATAGTTTCTTGGTTGATTTTCCATGACTACTGTTGGGTAGCAATTATTCACCTTTTTCTTTTACTGGTAACATTACACATCACACCTTTGTTGGTTGAATCAGCTATGTTTGCTGCTATGTTTTGCTGGTGACCTTGGTTCTTTCTTACATTTTCTGGCTGAAAAAACACCCGTTGTGGTGAAATCCGGTGATCCAAAAAAGCTCCAAAAAGCCAAAAAGGCAGCAGCTGTCGGTGCTACTGCCTTGGTGGAGTTGCGGGCAGCTGTGTGCCTGGGTCCAAAAGGTAACCCTGTACCATCAAAACTGCAACTGGGATGGAGCACTTTATATGTTCAGATCAGAAAAAAACACATCAACAGTCACAAAAACACACACACACATACATCAAATAGATCAAATAGATCATCTTTCTTTTATCATCTTAGGAGATCATCTTTAACAAAAAAAAGCACTGAAAAAATAGTACCCTCTGGTAATTTAAGCTATTGAAAATAGTTTCCCATTATAGCTATGTTAAATTAGTGAGTTATAGCTATTGAAAATCACCATTTTTCATGGGAAAACTCACTATTTCTATGGTCATCCATGGGATATCGATCCCCTCCGCCGTAGGCAGGACCAGCTGGAAAACGTGGCGCGGCAGCTGGGGCGCCTGGCGCAGGACCTGGAGGCCACCAAGGTGGAGCTGGCTGAGGTGCCTCTCCGGGACGTGGGAGCTTTTCATTGGAAAAAATGATGGGAAAATCTATGGAAAATATGGAACATCTATGGAAATCTATGGAAAATATGGAACATCTATGGGAAATCTATAGGATCTACTATAGGATATGGAATATGTATGGGATATGTGTGGGTTATGGGAAATCTATGGGATATCTATGGGATATCTGTGGGATATGGGTGGTAAAGTTGAACTTTAGCACTAGATTGGAAGTACAGGTAAATGAGTGCAATTGAAAACTGGCATCCAATAAACCCTACAAGCAGGTTGGAACGGAGGGTTTGGTCTGCACAGATTGTGGAGGATTCAGCGACAAAAGGGTTTAAGTGCCGAAAATTCCACAAATATTTACATAATATATTTACATATACATAATTATATTATATGCATATGGAAATTTGACCAAAAATTGTAAGCCATGGTACCCCAGGCAGTCATTTCATGTTGGAAATCCATGGGATTTCGCCCAGGTCGTCATCGAAAAGGAAGAAGATGAAGGCGAGCTGAAGCGAGAAGTGGACTCCCTGCGCAAGCTGCTTGAAACCCAGAAGGGCCTTCAACACACGCAGGACCGGGGGAGGCCCAGGGCCTGGTATGGCAAACCATGGGAATCATGGGAGTCCCCACAAAATGAAGGCTCTTGAATCGGAAATTCATGTTCACAGTATATATACATAATAACAACATATATATATATATATAATAAGAATAATCATATATATATATATATACATATACATATAATATAATAAGAATATATATATATACATAATATATTAATAATAACACTAATAATGACAATGATGATAATAACAACAATAATAACAATAATACGAACAATAATAATAACAATAATAATAACAATGATAATAACAATAATCACAATAATAATAATGATAATAATGATAATAATAATAATAATATATAATAATAATAATACTACTACTAATAATAACAACAATAATAATATATACAATTTGTATATATTATATATATAGTTATATATATATAATATATATATATATAAATGTATATAGATAAAATATTTGTATATACATATATGCAATGCTGGGAACATGTTTCACCAACCATTGCTTGTGGAGTTAATGAAGCATGGCGATGGGGTAAGAATGGGGATGCTATATTGCCAGATATGCTTGCCGGAGGGTAAAGCAATTGGGCCTTTGGATCTCAACTGTTTCTATTGTTTGCATCCCTTAAAGCCTCAAGGCATGGATTCCCCGACCAATGTCGGGGTAGATGGTATTAGAACATGTTCGAACCAGCCATCCCCCAAAAAATGGAATATCATCTCAAGATATCTCAAGACTCAAGCAGTTTCGATGTGTTCCCATGACATGTTCGATATGACGTCGCTCGGTCCATCCACTGGTCCAAAAGGAGACTCAGCTGCACGCTTTGGAGAAGAAACTCACCGAGGCTGGAAAGTTGGTCAAGTCCGTCGAGCAAACTCAATCTGGCGCTCAAGGAACCAGCAGAAAAAGGTTGGTTTTGACCAAGATCTGCAGAAAAAGATAGAAACATGCATGAACTACATCAAAATGATTCAAAAAGTCTGGCTGAGGATCTTGTTTTTTTGGGGTCATGTCTACCAAATTTGACCGAACCAGGCGTCAGAACGAGAGGTGGCCCTGAAACAAGAGTTGGAGGCCAAGGTCGTGGCCGCTGAAGATCGCGTCCTACAGAGCCTGGGAGATTGAACCATTTCGGGGCTGGAGGGATGTGAAGGGCTGAATTCTTTGAGTAAGTTGACCAATGAACGAAAAACTTGGTGGATGATTGATTGGGGGAGTTTTGGGGCAAGAATTGGTGGAGTTTGGGGATTTTTGGTGCCAAGATCAGTTGATTTTCTTGTAGGTTGGGAAGAGGAATTTGGGTGTCAAGGTGCCAACGTGTTTGCCGGAACCAAGGACCGAAAACGTTCAAAGCCACCTGACACAACGTCTTGAGGAGTGTGTCTTGTCGAAGCAAGCAGGAAAGGTCTTGATGTCGTCTGCCCCTGTTGCAGGGTTGGTTTTTTCAATGGAAAATCCCATCTTTTTCAGTGGATGATTCAGGGGTAGCCCCAGTTTAGGAAACCTCCCAGCCATGGAATCCCTACGTTTCGGAGCTAAGCTGAACTCAGCTGATGGCGCGCATTTCCGCCGCCGATTTCAGTGATTCCCTCATTCCAGGTGTGGTGGAGAGCCACATGATGAAACTCTTCGAAAAATTCGATATCTCCATGAAAACCCAGCTGGAGCAACTACGAGAGGCACAAGTCACTCACCTGCAGCTGGATACAGCTGGATGCAGCTGGAATCGCGATGAAGAAATTCCCGACTGAAGTGTCTCAAATGCTTAGTCAATGGTTGAATAAATAGTTCCCAAATAAATGTTTGATACATTGAATATAATTTCCCAAGTGTATAGATCTTGAAAAAAGTAGATGGTGATTTTTCATGTTAGTCACTTGTTATATCCTAGCCATAGCCGCGGCTTTTCTCCTCAGGTGGCCCTGCAAAGCCAGTTGCAAACTCAACACCGGGGCGCCATGTCCAAGGAGGAAGGCATACGTCGCGGCTCGGTCGAGATTCGTCCAAGTGGCAATTTAGAAAAAAGCAGGAAGACATGATTCACCCATTCATCATCCATGATTCCATCCATATTGATCCCACTTCCCATCAATTATTCCCATATGCTAGAAAAACATAGAAAAACATCTATATAACTATATAGTATATCATAATGTATATCATTATGGACTCATCATATCCTTTTTGGACCACAGGGATTTCCTCATCCTAGATCTATGGTCTCCGGCTGGTAAATCCCAGTCAGACTCCCATAGACTCCATGCCATGACTATTCTGTATCTCATGACATCCCATTAAAAACCTATAAAATCCCATGAAATCCCATGATCCCATCAGCATGGTCATTCAATATTCCATGGTCACCATCCATTCCAAACGTTGAAAAACCCAGGAATCGTGGAAGAATGCGACCGAAAACTCTTAGAACTCGCCAGTCGGATGACCATGGTCGAGGAATCCCATCGCCACGATGTCGAGCAGATCCGTAGCGAGATCCAAGGGATCTCGCAGGAGATATGCGGATGGGGATGGGGTGATGGAGAAAAAATATGTGTTATATTAACATACGCATGACATTAGAACACAGCACACGTATAGTAATATATATATATATAAATATACATACGTAATTCTATATAATCAGATAATATCAGATTATATGATACTTATAAGAACAAAAGGAAGAAGAAACATCCGAGCAACGTTTGCAATAGCTCAGGAGAAAGAGGCCTTGATGACGCCGAACCAAGGCTCTGTGAAGGCCGAGATCCAGTTTATGCCTACCCTTTGTGTATATACATATGATATAGGTATATTTCACATTATTTCACCATATCTACATTATATCATATATAATCCTATATAGTCATATATACATTATATTAAACAATCAAACAAATTATATAATCAACTATAATCATCTATAATCCTATAATTATCTATAATCCTATAATTATCATCATTGAGTCATATAAAATCACATATAATCCTATAATACTCTTGGTTGGTGGTTTGGAACATTTTTTTCCATATATTGGGAATGTCATAATCCCAACTGACGAACTCATATTTTTCAGAGGGGTTGAAACAACCAACCAGAATCCTAAATAACATCCTATATTTTCATGTGAAAAACTATCGCATCAGCGCCAGCATCGCCAGTTCTCCTCCTTGGACACCGAGAGTCTCCATGCCGGACGCAACGTTGCAGCGTGTCATTTAAACATGGCAAGAACTTTTGGATGTGACATATGTGAAATAGTGGCTTTGTGATACATGATACTAATGATACTAATGATACTACTAGTATTGACATATCTGTGAAATAGTTAAATAGTTGTAGGTCACTGTTTGCTATTCAAGCGAGGTTTTCTAAAGCTTGCGACATGATCACACCAAGCTGGTGTGACATTCGTGCTTGGTAATAGATCACCTAGATCACCAAGCACTGGAAAGGGATTGGGTCCAGAAATGCTGGGGTCAGTGATCGTTGTATCATGGATGATATTTGTGTGCAAACCCCTCAAGGAACACAGATTCTAAAAACTTCCAGAGGAAAGCAACCTTCCAACCCCCAGCTCAAGGCAAGGCCTGTCTTAGTTGGAGGGACTCCTTTTTTTTTTGGGAGCTTGGCGTAACCCCACCAACAACACTTTGATGAGCGGAGTTCCCATGAATAGTGCTTCAAGATTTTTTTCGGTTATGAAGAATTGTTGGCTTAATCAATCCTTTGTCACCAACAATATCATGACGCTTCAGAAATTGAGTTTCAAATCCTTGGAACATGTCCGAACAGAGCACAGTCTATGGTTTTTTGGGTTTATCATGGTAAAATCCACATTTTGATAAATGGGCTGGTAAACCCCAAAGCCATATTGAAATCCCTATTGAAATGGGATATTTACCATGGTAAAATCCACATTTTGATGATTAGATCCCTATTGAAATTGGGATTGTACTCCCCATTTCATGATTCTATTAAATTCTATTATCATATTCTATCCAAATATAGATGGACGTACCTGAATATCCAAGGTACTTAGTAGGGCGAGTCATCGCACAAGGTGGCCTCAAAATCGGCCTATTTCGGCTTTGGGAGCCGCTTTTGCGGCTTCTCATTAGTGATGTTGGTTGGTAAATATTGGAATAGACATTTGGCTACCATCAGACATGCTAAAAAGGTAGCTTCTGAGAGGGGTGTAGCAAAGATCTTACATATACTTACTGTGCATATATTTGCATATATTTTCATACAGTTGCACATATCTTCATACATTTTCACATATTTACATTTAATCTATTTACGTATATGATATATGTACTAAACATATCTACAAGCATATGAATAGAATACTTCCAGCAAAGTTATATCAGCAATATGTACCAATCAGCAAATACCCTTGGGTAAACTAACATAGACGTGGAACACCCATCTATGTAAACGTTTGACAGGAGGCTATATCCCCGAACAATAGAGTATCTGAGAAACTAAACATCCCACATATCATCACACATGCATAGAGTAGTTAGTTAATGTGAGTTATATCATATAATATCAATGTATGTTTTCATGTGAGTTATATCCCCACTTTCCTGGAATCTCCATGACCAAAATATCGAGGTCAAAGCAGATCCTCAGACGCCTGCGTCCATCTCCGTCCCCGTGGCTCCCGTCACGGCCCCCGCCACCAGCGGCAAGCACGGTGCCATGACGGCGCCGGTCACGGCGCCGCTGCCGGCGCCGGTGACGGCGTCGCTGCCCAGCCTAGGGACGCCGGTGGCATCCAATGTGCCACTGGGATGACATGGGGAAACTTACCCTCTGGTAATTTAACATAACTATGGAAAATCACCATTTTTAATGGGAAAATCCACTATAAATGGTGATTTTCAATAGCTATGTTAAATTACCGGAGGGTAGAGATGCGTGGAAAGCTGGGAAGTTTATGGATTTTCCATGGGGTTTTCCATGGATCTTCATCGATTTTCCATGGAATTTCATGGATATTGGGATGGATTTTTCATGGATTCTCCCATGTGGCCATATGGGATGTGTCTGAAAATGGGAGCCCAAGAAAAATGGCCTGAAATAAGAGAGAAGATGATGATCACCATTGATAAACCATGACACTTGGGGGTGCTCTATTACTATTGACAAACGCAGATTTTTGGGGATATGAACCAGTCATGTGGATTTCATATCTAGTATCTAGATGTATCTAGTACTAGTTGGTGATACTTTAAGTGGTTTCATCTCATTTACCCTGCGGTACTCGTACTTCAACATGGTGATTTTCCATAGCTATTTTTGAAAGAAACCAGCGGCCCGTGCTATGGACGATGAATATAGGCATGTGACGAATCTGTAGACATACATCAACTGATTGGTGGTTTCAAACATTTTTGGAATTTTCCATTTCATATGTGGGATGTCATCCAAACCCCATTGACGAACTCCATCATTTTTCAAGATGGTTATTGCACCACCAAGCAGTTTTTTATTGCTTAGTCAAGTCCGTCTTTTTTGCTGCTTAGATCACCACGTTGGTGAACTCCCGAGAATTTTGAGTGGTTAAACCATGTTAAACCGCAATGTTGATTGGCCAAGCCGATTTTTTTGCGATCCTGGAATGCCTATTTGGTTGGCGCAATCCCTCATTCTTGCTTCTCAGATTTTCGTAGATTACCACTTTGGTTGGTCCGATCACCATATTCGTTTGTTCAATGATCACAAGCTGTATTTTTCTTTTTTATATGTCTTGCTCAGCATGTTGGCGAAATCATCATTCAGATCATTCAGATCATCATACCCTCTGGTAATTTCACATAGCTATAGAAAATAGCACATAGAAATAGTGGATTTTCCCATGAAAAATGGTGGATCTTTCCATAGTTTTTTGTAAACGTTTACCAGGCCGGGTAACAATATTATACCTGATTAGTATGTTGACTAGTAAATACTGATTAGTATATGTACTTACTGATATTTACTGATTATATAGATCACCATATTTCACCATATTTCATATTGGATCATCATAAAATCACCAAATTATTGGTTGTTCAAATCATCAAATCACCAATTATTTATTCAGATCATCATAAAATCATCATTGGTTGTTCAACCTCCCTTTATTTTTCGTTGCAGATCACCTTAAGTCTCCAAGGCAGCCGGTGACCCTGGCCATGGGAACACCACAGAACATCGTGCATGGCGCCTACACGACCGACAGACGCATGGCGCAACGACAACCGGGGGATGGTTCGGTGGTTTTTCTGATTGTTGTAGGATTAACTATAGTTGTATCATGTTGTATCTGGTAAACGTTTACATAACTATGGAAATCAATGGAAATCACCATTTTTCATGGGAAAATTCACGATGTCTATGGTGATTTTCGATAGTTATGTTAAATTACCGGAGGGTAGTTGTATCTGGTGATGATATGAATTGTATATACACATTCCTCTATCATATATTGTTTGACACATGATTGATGTATATGGATAATTTCAGTGATTGATGTATTATGTGGACAATTCCAGTCATTGATGTATATATAATTATATCATATTATGTATATTAAATATGGATAATTCCACATAAAATCATGAAGGCCAAGACCTTTTTTGAAGTGAATTCAGCCGATGACCCAAGGTTGGCGCTTTTCCCCAGCACCACAGCCGGTTTGGGCTGTCAGTGGCACAGGCTGGGCGGTGTGTAAGACTCACAAGAAGATAATACCCTCTGGTAATTTAACGTAGCTATTGAAAATGGTGATTTATAGTGGATTTTCCCATTAAAAATGGTGATTTTACATAGCTATGTTAGTTTACCAGAGGGTAAGACATGTTCCCCCAAGAGTTTTGAACATTTCGAACCTCGTTCCAATTTTGAAAACACCCCAAGATCGCACCAGACTAGCCCTGAGGTGTCCGACGCTTGTCCGTGTTGGGCACACCTACCACACACGGATGAGCACCACGACTCGTTTCTCGCGGGAAAGCAAAAAGACGAGTCGGATGGCAGCGGCGATGGCTGCTGAGATGGGGAAAGTTATTGGGATAAAAGGAGCAATGCACATTTTCCGATTGATGTGTGATATTGATAGAAGGAGATGGCAGTTATAAAGTTAAATCATGTGAAATTAGTTTTCCATTTAGTAAGCGCCTGGGATTCCATTGATTCCATTGGTGCTGCAGGCCGTCTTCGGAGACCAAGGAGTTGTGTCCAGAAATGTCGGAGAACTTGTGGACGTGGCGAAGCTGGTGGCGTTGGTAGTGGCTGGTGCTACAAAAATGAAAGCATAAAATACAGTATAACCTCTTGTTATGTCAAAATAGCTATTGAAAATGGCTATTTATAGTGAGTTTTCCCATTAAAAATTGTGATTTACCATAGTTATGTTAGTTTACCAGAGGGTAACAATATTATACCTGATTAGTATGTTGACTGGTAAATACTGATTGTATATGTACTTACTGATATTTACTGATTATATATATATAGATTAAACATAAAATAGAGAGAAGTATACCTGGACAAACGCAACATCGAAGCGACACTCATGAAGAGACATTAGCACATCTTACCGCTTTTCTAAGCAGAGTCTTTTTTCTAATCGCATGTTTCAAACATCAGCTCATGTTCAACCGTTTGGCTCTTCTTTTGATCATTACCCTCTAGTAATTTAACATAGCTATTGAAAATGGCCATTTATAGTGGATTTTCCCATTAAAAATGGTGATTTTCCATTGCTATGTTAGTTTACCAGAGGGTATCAGCAATTGTGTTCCCCCAATCCACCCATCCTATGTTCATCCCAAAGCTCAAGACCAGCTTCCCATTTGGATCAAGTGGATGGGTACTTGAATGTTGTTATATACTATACACTTTTATGACAATTTATCGTATACATAATATAAGTTTATATGATATGTATATATATATTATATATATACAGGCCATTGTCTCCTAGTGTATCTATTGATCTCGTTATCTTTTTATCTCTCTATCTCTTTATATGTTTATCTATCTATCTGTCTGTCTGTCTGTCTATCTTATCTTATCCTATCGTATCTTATCTCATCTCATCTGATCTGATCGTATCCTATCTATCTATCTATCTGTCTGTCTGTCTATCTATCTATCTATCTCTCTCTCTCTCTCTTTCTTTCATCTGTCTATCTGTCTAGCTGTCTGTATGTCTATCTATCTCTATCAAATTCAATGTCCCTGGCACAAGTTTTTGGTACAAGTTCTTTACAAGAGGTTTCTTGTGCAACAGCTTGGTAGAACAACTGTGCACCAGATTTGGTGGGAAGGTGTTTCCGTGAACCGCTGAGCTTGTGGGTCCGTGGGTTAGTGGGCCCGTGGGCCCGTGGAACACTAGCGGACACTTCTCAACATATATGATATTTGATATCCATATATATATAATATTATATATAAATTATATCAATATCCATCATATATTCAAGCAAATTTATATGTGGATGCAGACCAGCCTCACCTCCAAGGCCTCCTGCTTAGCCTCTTTGGCCTCCGTGAGTGTTGCATCAGGTGTCGAGTCATAGTGGGTGTTGGATAGGATTCTCACCAAATTTATTGAGATCCTCATGTGGTAAACCCGATGATAAACCTACCATTTAGGGATGGTTACACCACCCATAAATGGTGATATTGGGAATGGTTTATGACATTGGGTTTACCATAGTACTGTAAGTTGAATATAAGTAATTCAGCCGTAAGTAGTCCTATTCACCAGTACTTAATTGGGATTATAATTTGACATCATTAGTATTTAGCCATAATCTACTTAGTTAAATTCAGCTCTAAGAATTGTGTTTCTTTTTGACTAAGTAGTAGTTCACCAGCAATTGATAGAATTTGTTGGGTTTTTTTTCGAGGATAATCAAAGATGGCTAGCTGGGAAATCTCCACACTGGAGGTATGATGTTCGCTGGGAAATCCCCATCATTTGCACAGCCGCGCCGAACTTTCCAGCAAGCCACGTTTGATTACCAGGTGAATAGTAATTCAATGTAATTTTTAGGAGTAGCAATAGATGTCAATGCTGTGAATGGTTGCAGTAGATGCGATTGACCCGAAATGGGACAACTGTCATAATGTGCCGTGGGTTTTTTTGGGTCGGAGGGATGGCAACTTTTGAATCAAACGATTGACCGGAAATGAATGTTCTGAAAGAAGGGAATCTTTTTTCCCCCAATGATTGCCATGACAAAATTGGAGTGAGGTTTTCAATCACGGGAGGAACTTTTGAATTCAACGACAATTAACCAGAAATTAGAGGTGTCAATTGTATCTCATTAATAATTGTTAATCTGGCCAGATAGTTATGGTTACCAATAATGATAGCTATTATCTGGCCATTTTGATATGGGCTGACCCCTTGCAATCTAACAATTTGATACAATTTGTGATGTGTAAAATGGCCATGAACATTTAGTAAATCATCTCCAAAGCATGGCGTTACCCTACCAACTCTCCCTGCAACTTACACTTCGACTCTGTGCATGGTCGATTTATTAGTTGGGGGGATGAAAAAACACCATGCTGCCAATGTCCAAAAATCTATGGCTCTTAGAAATCTCCAATTAGTCAGGTTTCTGAGTTTTTGTTGTTGATTATTTGAAAGCACCCAGATCTTTCATTATTCCTGTAAATTTCGGGATTCCTACGATGTTCCACTGGAGATTTGGTATTGTATGATGTTGATGTTGTGAAATTGTTATTTTTTGCATGCATCCTGGCAGATATTTGAGCTGGGCCACCGGCAAGCGCTCCAAACGCCCTTTGCGAACATGGTCCCCTTTCATCTGCCAAGAACATGTTGCACAAGTCAAGCCCCGCGTTCGCTTGATTTAGTGCGGGCTCGGGTCTTTGCTTGTGTGATAAGAAGTACTTTGATGTACTTTGCATCTGGCTGACGTAATTCGAAGCCACCAAGAAAATCTGCAAGAATGAAACAGTTCAGTCATGTTCGATTCACTCATTTTTGACCACTGGTTTTTGGTCTATTTTGATCTATCTTGTGCTTTTGACATGTTTTGACCCCAGGGTCATGTTCCACAAGACCTCACAATGACAAGCAAGCAGTGCAATCCTTGTACGTCTCAATACATCCTGGCAGATATTTGAGCTGGGCCACCGGCAAGCGCTCCAAGCGCCCTTTGCGAACATGGTCCCCTTTCATCTGCCAAGAACATGTTGCACAAGTCAAGCCCCGCGTTCGCTTGATTTAGTGCGGGCTCGGGTCTTTGCTTGTGTGATAAGAAGTACTTTGATGTACTTTGCATCTGGCTGACGTAATTCGAAGCCACCAAGAAAATCTGCAAGAATGAAACAGTTCAGTCATGTTCGATTCACTCATTTTTGACCACTGGTTTTTGGTCTATTTTGATCTATCTTGTGCTTTTGACATGTTTTGACCCCAGGGTCATGTTCCACAAGACCTCACAATGACAAGCAAGCAGTGCAATCCTTGTACGTCTCAATACATCCTGGCAGATATTTGAGCTGGGCCACCGGCAAGCGCTCCAAGCGCCCTTTGCGAACATGGTCCCCTTTCATCTGCCAAGAACATGTTGCACAAGTCAAGCCCCGCGTTCGCTTGATTTTAGTGCGGGCTCGGGTCTTTGCTCGTGTGATAAGAAGTACTTTGATGTTCTTTGCCTCTGGCTGACGTAATGCGAAGCCACTAAGAAAATCTGCAAGAATGAAACAGTTCAGTCATGTTCGATTCACTCATTTTTGACCACTGGTTTTTGGTCTATTTTGATCTATCTTGTGCTTTGACATGTTTTGACCCCAGGGTCATGTTCCACAAGACCTCACAATGACAAGCAAGCAGTGCAATCCTTGTACGTCTCAATACATCCTGGCAGATATTTGAGCTGGGCCACCGGCAAGCGCTCCAAGCGCCCTTTGCGAACATGGTCCCCTTTCATCTGCCAAGAACATGTTGCACAAGTCAAGCCCCGCGTTCGCTTGATTTTAGTGCGGGCTCGGGTCTTTGCTTGTTTGATAAGAAGTACTTTGATGTACTTTGCCTCTGGCTGACGTAATGCGAAGCCACTAAGAAAATCTGCAAGAATGAAACAGTTCAGTCATGTTCGATCCACTCATTTTTGACCACTGGTTTTTGGTCTATTTTGATCTATCTTGTGCTTTTGACATGTTTTGACCCCAGGGTCATGTTCCACAAGACCTCACAATGACAAGAAAGCAGTGCAATGCTTGTACGTCTCAATACATCCTGGCAGATATTTGAGCTGGGCCACCGGCAAGCGCTCCAAGCGCCCTTTGCGAACATGGTCCCCTTTCATCTGCCAAGAACATGTTGCACAAGTCAAGCCCCGCATTCGCTTGATTTTAGTGCGGGCTCGGGTCTTTGCTTGTGTGATAAGAAGTACTTTGATGTACTTTGCCTCTGGCTGACGTAATGCGAAGCCACTAAGAAAGTCTGCAAAAAATGAAGCGTACAGTCATGTTCGATCCACTCGTTTTTTGACCACTGGTTGTTGGTCTATCTTGATCTATTTTGCCAGGCGAACATGAGTTGGAGCCTGAGAGAGCTGTTGCTGACGGTATTTCTACACAGTTGCTGCAGCTTTCTTTCTGGGGTAATCAGGATGAGGATATCAAGATAATGAAGATGGAACTTCAACTATAATGAGCATTAATGAACTATATAGCAGAAAGCATCAGTATTTGCCTGCAAACTTTGGACCTGTGCCGTAAGGTTAAAAACCGATGAAGGGGAAGAGGAGCTGCTGACCATGGACATGCTATGCCCAAGATGACGGCCACATCAAAATGGTAGGTTTGTAGGACAAATGCTGGCGTTTAGTAGGGTATCTCCTTGTATCTTCCACATTGGGCACACATCCCACATTGTTGGGTGACTTAGATCCAAGTTGATCGTTTCTGTGAGGAAAAGTGCCTCACATTGACAACTAGAAATCGTATTTCTTGATCAGACAAT